GGGAAAGCAGTCAAGGACAGCCCAGAGCCTTGGGACCCTGAACCCACTAGGGAGTCCTGGAAGAAGCCCGTGGCTCCTGGCTTTGGATTGGTGCAGCTCGGGCTGTTGCAGTCACCTGGGGAGTGAATCAGTGGGTGGAAGATCATCTTCTCTGTCTCTCCTCCTGTGTGTACATCTGACTTTCTAATAAAAATAAATAAGTCTTTAAAAAAATATACTAATTTCCACTACCACCAATCATCTATTGAATTCATGATCATTTCTTGTTATTTTCCATACGCTTTTTTATTTTGTAAGCAATTAGAAAATAACTTTATTTTTTTATAAAAACTTGGTTTCAGCTGCAACAAAGAGATTTTTTGGGGAAAAGTTTTTATTCAAAACTGAGCATTATCATATCAACTATTGGTATGAACCATGTATCTTTCCACTCTTTCTGCCTTTTTTTCTTTTTTTACTTTTTTTAAAGTTTTTTTTTTTTGAAAGGCAATTTACAGAAATGTAGAAAGGGACAGGGATAGATCTTCCGTCTGCTGTTTTTCACTCCCCAAATGGCCGCAATGGCCAGAGCTGGGCCAGTCAAAAGCCAAGAGCGTAGAGTTTCTTCTGGGTTTCCCTCATGGGGGCAGGGTCCTAAGGACTTGGGCCATCTTCCACTGCTTTCTGAGGCACAGTAACAGGGAGGTGGATCAAAAGAGGTATGAGTGGACTAGGACCAGTGTCCATACAGGATGCTGGTGTCATAGGCAGAGGCTTAGCCTGTTATGCCATGATGCTGACACCCATTTAGTGATTCTTATACTAAATCAGGACTGTCATACATTTTAAATGGATTTTTACATTTTTATTTATTTATTTTGATTGACAGAGATAGGTGGACACAAAAGTCAAGCTCCCATGCTCTGGTTCATTATCCACCATGCTGAATTCCCGAGCTAAAAACTCCATCCAGCTCTCATATAAGTAGCAGAAGTGCAATCACCTGAACCATCACTGCTGCCTCCTCAGTCTGTATTAGCACGAAGCTGGAGTCAGGATTCAGAGCCACTTGTCTAATGCAGGCACACTGAAATGAGACACAACTAAATCAGCATCTTTACCACTTGGCCAAAAGTCCATCCCATTAAAAAAGAATTCTGATTCCATAAATTCTTAAGCAAAACAATCAGGAAATTGAGTCTAACCAGTTTTCATATCTCCCTTTTGATCAGTGGTAGCTGAGGTATCTTCTCAGTTTTGCTTTCTTGATTTGCCTGATGTAATGCCTTTTAGTTGCATTCCTTCTTACCATTCAGGAGTATCTGTAAAGGCATGTGGTTTGTCGTATTCTCTGGAAAAAAAAAATTCCCATTGCAACCTGTGACTGGAGAGTTCACCAAAACACAAGAATCTGATGAAGTTGTAAATAGTGCTTTCCTGAAATCTAGAAAGTCACTTTAAAGTAGTTTCCAAAACGTGGAACCCCCATTCTAAGTTCTAAGGTCTTCCAAACAGCCAGAGTGGAGGCTAGCCCTTGAAACAACCAAGTAGTTGTATTTTGACTGGAAGAAGATAATTTTGAAAGATTTTTCTGGGGTCATTTGCAAACTTGAATGCATAGAGATTTCTTGTAAATTGAAAAAGTACAATACTTTGGAAGAGTTCCTAGAAGTTAAGAACATGTTTAAAAAATTTTAAGTGCCAAAAAAACCCACAACAAACAACAACAACAAAAAACAAAATATGAGAAATATCTGAGTACTTACTTTCCAGTTTTCCCGAATGCATCCCGAGCTGATAAGCATCTTAGAACTGACCAAGCGCTGTCAAGGAGCTTCCCTGGCAAATGCAGCTCAGATGTACTCAAGATTTCTGGGAGAAAAAGGAGTCTTAGGAAAAACTGCCCTGTGTGGTAAAGAGCACCCTGTCACCAGGAGGATGGAATTGCAGCACAAACAGAATATTGAGAAATTTGGAAGAAGTGAACAGTATTCTAGGAAACTATGGCTTGCTCAAGAGGATGCAATTCCATGGAAGCTCAAGAAGCCGCCCAGCAGTGACAGTCACGAGCTGTACTAGAATTTGTATCCAGTGGAGTTGTAATATTTGCTCCTGGGGCAGTACGTTTTTTTAAAGATTTATTTTTATTGTTTTTTTTTTCATTGGAAAGGCAGATATACAGAGAGGAGAGACAGAGAGGAAGTTCTTCTGTCCAATGATTCACTCCCCAAGTGAGCGCAACGGCCAATGCTATGCCGATCCGACCACGCGGGTGCAGGGTCCCAAAGCTTTGGGCGGTCCTCAACTGCTTTCCCGGGCCACAGGCAGGGAGCTGGAAGGGAAGTGGGGCTGCTGGGATAGAACCGGCACCCATATGGGATCCCAGGCGTGCAAGGCGAGGACTTAACCACTTGTGCCACCGCGCCGGGCCCGGCAGTACGTTTTTATTCATAGTAGAAGCTGTCTGCTGCTTCAACATTCCCTCCTGCAGAGCTTAAAGGGACATCCTAAGAGCCAGGCTAATGAGCTGCAGAAACAGTACAAGGGAGTGCTGGATCTCTGGTTCAGGAGTTTGCTTTCTGAAGGGTGTGCTGTTCACAAGAATCTACTTCTGAACAGCATAATATGAGTATGACAGGAAGCCTGACTTCCGGTTCTAATGGACAGGGCTGTAGTCCCACTGGGCAAAGAAGTCTCTAAATGGGCTACAAGAGCAGCGGTTACAGGCTCCAGGGACAGATGCATCAGAGTGTGTTCAGGTTAGCTCTGCCCCTCCCAGTATTAAAAGGTAATGTGAAGAAACAGGATGGAGTGATTAGCTCCTGAGACTTGAGCAGTGGAGGTGAAAGTGGTTATATCTGAGGGCCTTGTCTGTAACTCCTTTTTCTCAGGGGATACCTCTGACTTTGACCTCACCTGACCCCTGCTCACACCCTAAAGGACTGGAAAGAGAAGCTCCGAGCAAGGATGCTGGCCATCACTGCCAGAGGGAATTCACCCTGCGCATTTTGGTTTCCTTCGTTTTTTTTTTTTTTTTCTCCCTTCCCTCTTTTTCTCAATCCAAAGTAAGATAGGTTTTGGAAGAAAGAAACTTGGAATAGAACTGTCTGTGTCAGGTCTATAAACCTGGGCAGAGGAGGCCTCCTTGACATTATTATTCAGTATTGCCCTCTCCCACCTCTCTTTGCTACCACCAACACCTCACACCCGCCCCCCCACCCCGCAGATACCTTGCGATTTAGGGAATAGACAAATAGACAGGATACTTCTGATGTAAGATGCATTGTTCTGGGCCCGGCGCGGTGGCGCAGTGGTTAAGGCCCTCACCTTGCACGCCCAGGATCCCATATGGGCACCGGTTCTAATCCCGGCAGCCCCGCTTCCCATCCAGCTCCCTGCCTGTGGCCCGGGAAAGCAGTTGAGGACGGCCCAAAGCTTTGGGACACTGCACCCACTTGGGAGACCCGGAAGAGGCTCCTGGCTTCGGATCAGCATAGTATCGGCCGTTGCGCTCACTTGGGGAGTGAATCATCGGATGGAAGATCTTCCTCTCTGTCTCTCCTCTCTGTATATCCACCTTTCCAATAAAAATAAAAATAAATCTTAAAAAACACTATGCATCGTTCTCTCTTGCTCTCTTTTTCTTACCAACATTAATAAGCTTGTGATAATTTCATTCTGGAACTGTTGCACTGGATCCAGGGGGCAGTGTTTGATAGGCAGTAGGATAGGTGCGTTATGGAAGCCATCAGGTTCTGATATCTCTTCCCCACTCCCAGAATGGGAGCTGCCAGTTCCCACACCTGGGGAGTGCACGGAGCCATGTAGGCAGCAGCAGGGTGTTATGTGTATTTGCTAACTCTGTGAATGTAAATTTAGTTCTAGAAAAAGAGCTCTTCCTATTTCAAAGAAATAAAAATTAAAAATACTGATTTCATTTGAATGAGCTTCTCTGTATAATCATGGCCTTGAGGCTGATCACTGCCTCTCTGTGTGGTGGTGCCACTTGTTCTACATCCTTCCTACTGCTCTGGGTACAAGTGAATCTGTCTTCAGGTTTCAGTACAAACAGATTTACTGGAAAATATACACACCGTTAAATTATTGTTTTGCTGATCTGTCTGAATTCACCAGGGCCGTATTGCTTTGCTTACTGTTTACTTTTTTTTTGTTTACTGTTAACTTTTTTATAGAAGTATTTAAGCTTACTACCCATTCCACATTTTCTTGTTTTCTTGTTTTTGTTCACATGAGTATTTGCCTCACAGAAGCAGTTGTGTTTTTTGTCTGTGAACACCATTGTTTTGAGTGTTTATTTTGTTCCTAGGCATTTCAGTGGAATATTGCTTATGAACACATTTTTATATTGCTGGCATTCCTGTAATAAGACAGCTTGATCCCAGAGAATTACTCTTTTAATATACTATTTTATGTTAGTTAATTATATGTAGAAGTGACACAAGATGTAATGAGACTGCCACAATCTATTAATATCTGTTTAAAAATGAAATTGCTACACTGTGTTTCAGCAGGCTAATGCCACCATTTGTGGTACAGCCGTCCAAATAGGAGTGTCAGTTCAAGTCCTGGCTACTCTGCTTCAGCTCTCACTTCCAGGCAATGCTCCTGAGGTGGCAGTGGAAGATGGTCCCTCCCACCCGTGTGGAAGATCAGGATGGTGTTTCTGGCTCCTGGCTTTAGCCTGGCCCAGACCTGGCTGTTGCAACCATTTGGGGAGTGAATCAGTAGGAAGAAGATCTTTCTCTCCTCTCTCATTTTTTGTATTTCTCTCTCTTTATGGCTCTGCCCTTTATATGAGTAAAGCCTTAGAAAATTAAATTCCTGGGACTTTATAAATTTAAATAAAAAGGTTTTCAGTTTTTATAATGCAAGTGTCATTTTTACTAATTAAAATTACTTAGTTGAACAGTAGAATAGTTGGACTAGAAAACCAACTTTTCAAGTTTTTGGAGAAAATATGTAAATCTATTTCTACATTAAACTGAAATGTTTTCCTACAGGCTACTGGTCCAAGATAATCAAAATGTGGATGCATTAAGAATGCTGGCTCTTTACTATTTGTGTAGGGAAGGGGATATAGAAAAGGTAAGTTGTATTCTTTAGGTTGCCTCTACAGCTGGTACTCAAGTGTGTGCATTCTTACAGTCATGCAGTAGAGCTTTGGAGTTCTCTTGCAGCATATATGTCAAGAGTAGTTTTTACTTGACTAAAGAGACTACATCTTAACAAACTTTGTACCTAGTAAGGCATCATTAAAATCACCCTTGAAAATCTCTGAACTCATGGATGATAATATGTGTAGTTTCCTGTATAAAGCTTGTGCAGTAGTACATAAGATTAATGTAACCTGTGGTACTGTGCATGGAAAATTTTATAGGTAAAATACCACTCATGCTGTTTTTACAATGTGATTGAATTTGTGTAAAATATATGAACCTAGAGTAAAAATACCATTGAGCTTTATAATAAGGTACATCTATTTCAGTGGTAGTGAAAAATCTTAGCTATATACAAGATTATGAGTGCCAGAATTTAACCTGTAACAAATAGCATTGTAACAAGTAGCTGATTTACATTTTGCTTAGTGTTTAAATTTTTGTGATAGTGTCTAATAAGAACTTAAGCAAATATTAAAAGAATCCCAGTTGGGACAAATTCTCAGTATATTTTTCATATATTTAATTACTTACACTAAGCAACAAAATGATTTTTTGATTAATTTCAAATGTAAATCAATCTATATAGTCAGTTCAGTGGCTAATATCATATAATATCTGTATGTTTCTATTAATATCACTTGGAAGGAGTCTTCCAAATAAGTAAATGACATATACATCCATATGAATATTGTAGGTATTTTTGTTCTAAAAGATTTTTATTCAATAACATGCATGAAACATTCTGAAATGTAGAATATTTTTAGTTTTTGAACTTCTTAAAGGAACTTCTAATATCGCTTACAAAGTAAGATTCCACTTCCTGAGGAACAATTTGTCTTTTAAATATTAACATACTTTATTGACATTTATGTGTGTATTATGCTCTTTTTGAGGGTATGAATTAAAATTACTTCTGGTTACTTTGTTTTAGGCTGCCAGCAAACTGGAAAGCTTAGGAAATGCACTGGAGTCCATGGAACCACAGAATGCGCAACTTTTTTATAGAATTACCATAGCCTTCAGCAGAACCGTAAGTCAGCTTACTCTGAACCAGAGGTAACACCTAGAGTAGGGAATTTGTAATAAGGCAGAAGTTTGAGGCATTGAACAGCATAAGCCTAGAGTGAAAATGTGATATGCATCTACATACGCGGTACAGTACTAAGAAAGGCATTTCAGAGGTGATATGGCTTATAGCTGTCAGCTGACATTGGGGAGACTTCAAGGAGGAAGTGGCATCTGTTAAACTTTCAAGGGTAAGAAGATGTTTGCAAGGAAAAAGAAATAGAAAACAATGTATTTTAATTAGAGCATGGGATTTATGCCTGAAATTGTTCTTTGCTTTTGTTTTAAGAAACCATTTCCCCCCAAAAAACAAACTTTAAAGTAAGTAATAAAGGGCCTGGCGTGATGGAATAGTGGTTAAAGTCCTCACCTTGCATGCACTGGGATCCCAAATGGTCGCCGGTTCTAATTCCGGTGGCCCTGCTTCCCATCCAGCTCCCTGCTTATGTCCTGGGAAAGCAGTTGAGGATGGCCCAATGCCTTGGGACCCTGCACCTGTGTGGGAGAGTTGGCTTCGGATTGGCACAGCTCCAGGCGTTGTAGTCACTTGGGGAGTGAACCATTGGACAGAAGATCTTCCTCTCTGTCTCTCCTCTCTGTATATCCACCTTTCCAATAAAAATGAATAAATCTTTTTTCTTAGAAAGTAAGTAATAGAATACTTGGGTGAGGGAAATGGTTAATATCAAACTTTTACTGTAAGCTTCCAGGGATGGAATAGAAAAATACAACAGAATTTCTGAAAAGGCTGGTGGTGGATAAAGCCAATGACTGCAGCACCAGCATTCTATGTGGGAACTGGTTCTAGTCCTGGCCTCTCTACTTCCCATTGAGCTCCCTGCTTATGGCCATGGAAAAAGCAGCAGAATATAGCCCCTGTACTTATGTGGGAGACTTGGGGATGCTCCTGGCTTCAGATCTGCTCAGCTTCAACCATTGCAACCATTTGGGGAGTGTACCAACAGATGGAAGATCTTCTCTGTAAAATTGCCTTCCCTGTAAAAAAAAAATTTAGAACTTAAAGTTAAAACTGATTCAAACATTTAATGAGGTATTTTCCTCTGAAAAGTTGTTCTCTTTAAAAATTAAATATTTATTCTGACAGCATGGCCATTTCTTGAAATTTTTGAAGTTCTTTCTGAGAAGATTTAAAGGATCTTTTAAAATACTCTTATAGGTGACAAAAATCTTAAGGAGGAAAGCAAACCATACCCCTAGTTTTTATAATTGTTTCTAAAGATTTATTGTATTTATTTAAAAGGCAAAGTTGTTCCATCCTCTGGTTTACTCATGAAATGGCTACAATAGCCATATGTGGCCCAGCATAGAAACAAGAGCCAAGAACCTCATCCTAGTCTCCCACATGGGGAGCAGGGTCTCAGGCAGTTGGACCATTTCTGTTGCTTTCTCAGGTACATCACTAGTAGGAAGTTGGATCTGAAGCAGAGTGCCTTGAACTCCAAAAGCGGCGCTCCAATATGGTATGCTGTCATTGCAAGTAGTAGCTTAACCCACAGTACCAATACACTAACCCCAGCCAATGTTTTTGAAATTAAAATATATGTGTATGGGCCCAGCGCAGTAGTCTAGTGGCTAAAGTCCTCGCCTTGCATGCACCGAGAACCCATATGGGTGCCGGTTCTAGTCCTGGCGGCCCCACTTCGCATCCAGCTCCCTGCTTGTGGCCAGGGAAAGCAGTAGAAGACGATTCAAAGCCTTGAGACCCTGCATCCGTGTGGGTCATTGTAATTGCTTGGGCAGTGAATCATTGGACAGAGAATCTTCCTCGCTGTGTCTCCTCCTCTCTGTATGTCTGACTTTCCAATAAAAATAAATCTTTAAAAATATATATATATGTATGGATATAATCATGATTTTCTTGTCTAATGTATAAAACAGTTAAGACCTGAGCCAGGCAACTTAAGCCCCACTGGATCTCCCAACCCCAAGGTTCATGATACCAACACCCACCTAGAAAGTGGGCCACAGGATCTGGGCCCATCAACCCAAAATCTACCAGTTCCTCCCTCTCTGGGTCGCAGGAACCCAGCACCCACCACACAGATGGGCCCTAGGACCTAAACCAGTCACCCAGCCCTGGGATTCATGTACTTGGCCCCTGCTGGTCCCAGGCTGGCATGACCTACCTCACCTCAGTGTCCACAATCTTATCACACAGTGTGGCTTAGTCTAGTCAGCCCCCTGTTCCAGCTCCTGCTGGTGGGTGCTGCAGCTTATCCCAGCCCAGCCTGATTGCTGTCCTGGTCCTAATGTGAACTGGCTAGTGTTGCAGCCCGATCTGGCTCCTCCTGCCCCTGCCCTGGTTCTCAGATCTGCCAATAGGTATTATGTGCTGGCCCAAACAGGTTTGTCCCCAGACCAGAGCCTCATGTGTACCAGCAAGTACTATAACCTGGCATGGTCTGGACTGCTCACCTGCAGGGACTGCATGCCAATGAAGGAGTTTTCCAAGCTTCTCCATTGAGTCTCCTCCCAGTGGCAGTTCTTGTGCACACCAGTGAGTCATTGGCCCAATTTGACTTTGTCCACCACCTGTCCTGACAAAAACAATGGCCTTGTTCAACTGGACATACCCATTCTGGTTCTTGTTGTTGGATGTTGCAGCCCAATGATACTTGATCCACCCCTTGCCCAGACACAACTTTCACACAGTTCAGCGAGAGTCAAGATCTGGCTTGGCTTGTTCTATACCCAAACTGGCTCTCAAGAGTAGTGGGTGCCAGATTTGTGAGCCCCAGGGGAGAGGAACCCAGTGATGCTTGGAATACCTAGCTCGGTTACTTGGATTCTCCTGCAACAACATGCCCTACTTATTGAAAAAGGTGGAGCAGTGGACACAGACCCTGTTGTAAAACGAGAATATGACAGCACATTTGATGCTATAGCAGAAGAAGGAGAACAGAACAAATTGGACAACAAATTGGACAATACCCCAAATGAATGATGACAGCAAAAAATCTCAGTAATGGAGCCAATGGACAATGGGAGGGTGACATCATTCTTGGATCAGTGCGGCAACATTTCAGAGAACTGTCCAAACCACTTGGACAGAACCTTAGGAATATGTACACATTGAGATTCTGGATTGATATATATATTCCTGGGTACTGGGATGTGGGGAAAGTCATGAGTTATTTCCCCCTTTGTCTCTCCCCTTCCTCCAGGAGCAAGAAGTAGCAGCAAATTTGGAAGTAATGAGTTCACCCAATTTTCCGTAAACCTTGATCCTTCCCACTCTAATCAACTATGCAATCATTTTTTAAAAAATAGTCAAGAAACAGTTTTAAAAAGGAGTACATAGAATACATTTGTGTAACATCTTTCGAAAAAGTCTAGTTTTCAAGACACTTGTTTGATAAAAGCACTGCGTTTTAGGCTGCGTTAATTGGGATACATGATAAATTCTAATAGATGAGTTGTCCAGTTAACATTCTACTTTTCTTTGATTATTTCATAATTGTATTCCTTATTTTTATTTCATTCTTCTGAAATATACAATATATTTAAGAAAAAGTAGAAGTGTTTGCCCTCTACTTTAATCCTTTTTTCCTTTTAGTGTGGACGTAGTCAACCCATGCTTCAGAAAATTCAGACATTATTAGAAAAGGCTTTTAGTTTAAGCCCTCAACAATCAAAGTTTGCTACAGAACTTGGATATCAGATGATTTTACAAGGCAAAGTTAAAGAGGCATCGAAGTGGTATAAGACAGCCATTACACTGGATGAGACTAGCGTCCCTGCGCTGACTGGTAGGCCAACTGCTTTTTCAAATGCCCCTAATACACATTCAAGTCATAATTACTTAAGTGCCTGCCATTAAAGAAGACAAATGTGTTTCATGGTGTTGAAAACTTCAGTCACTCTTCACCATGCACAACAGGAAAGAGACTTACCTTTAAGACATTCTGTTACATACATCACATCTTGAGGTAATACAATAGCTTTTATAAATTTCAAATTCTAGAGCAGTTTCTATATGGTTCCAAGGCAATCTGTTTTATTTTCTTTCGTTTGGTCTTTGTTCTTTTTTATATATTATTTTCAATTCTGAAACTTTAAAGTTTCATAATGGGGAAAATGTCTTACTGATGTGATTTGTGTTAGTTTGTAGTGCATATGACCAAATTCCTGTAAGCTTTAACTGTTTTTGTCCTATTTGATTTTAGGATGTATCCGATGTCAATTAATAGAAGGAGAATTAGAAGATGCAGATCAGCAGCTAGAATTCTTGAATGAAATTCAGCAGTCCATTGAAAAATCTGCGGTATAGTATTTTATTTTTTATCTGGTTGTAGATACCAGGTATTATAAAATATGACTGTTTGAATTGATTCTCTTACTTTGTAATGATACTGAAAGACAAATGTATGCCAGTTTTAATGTGTGGACTGCATTATAAATTAACCTCCATACAAAATTAGACTTTACACATATTCTGTACAGACCTGTGCAGCCTAATATTTAAGTTTGTATGAACAGTTGCAGGAAATAGCATTTGAAATGTATTTGAGGTCTAAATAGAAATACATGGCATCAAATTGAATGGAAAAAATTTAACAAAACGGTTTATTTTCCAGGAGTTAACCTATTTGCATGCAGTTCTTGCTATGAAGAAAAATAAACAACAAGAAGAAGTTACGAATTTGTTAAATGATGTCTTGGACACTCATTTGTCACATTTAGAAGATTTACCTCTTGGCATACAGTATTTTGAGAAGCTAAATCCTGATTTCTTACTAGAAATTATTACAGAATATCTAAGTTTCTGTCCAATGCAGGTAAGCAGTTATAGGACTTGTTTTCAAGGAGACAGTTATTTAAGTTTTAGCAGAAAGTGCTGTTACATGTTAAACTGCATTGACATCTTAAAATAGTATTTTTAAATCTCTATTTGCTAAAATGGTTTTTAATCAGAATACCATATAGATTGCTGTTATAATGCAACCATTGGATTACAAAGATTTATAAATATTAAAATCTTTAATTCAGAATGGCTGTTACTATTAATTTTTGAATCCACTGAAACTTCATCACAAAGTATCCATCCAGTCTTTGAACATAGTCAGAAATTAAGTTATTATATATAACTATAATTATTGGGTTGGATTTTGGATTCCTATGTGAAGTCAAGTATTGTGTTGGAAAAAAAAAAGGTTCTTTTCCCATCTTGCTGGTACTCCTCCTACTTCCTGGAATGATACCATGTTCAGTGTCTTGGTCAAAACAAGGAACATTTCACATTTCTAAAACAGATACTCAGATTTTGAAAATTAATTTTTGTATTTTCCTAATTCCAAGTTTTTAACCATGAATTTGAAAGGTGGAATGATAGAAAAAAAAATAGGGAGAAATATTGATCTTACTTCCCATTACTGGTTCACTCCCCGAGTGTCTACAACAACCAAGGCTTGGCCAGACCAAGGCAGAGAACCAGGAATTCTGTCTTGGTCTTTCCACAGGGGTGGTAGAGGCCCAGATCCTTGGGCCACGTTCCTCTGCTTTCTGAGGCACATCAGAAGAGGACTGAATTGGAATCAGGGTACTAGAACATCAACCAGCTGATAGGCTGATATGGGATGCTGGCATTGCAAGCAGTGACTTGACTCACTGTGCCGCAGGGCTCACCCAGTTAGCTCACTTTTCAAAACAGAGGAGTCAAGAGGAACGCAGTGAGACCATTCATCACCAAAACCAAAGTTCTTGGCATTCTTCTGATCAACGGCCTCAGTGACTGTTAACAGGGAAGTGACCTCTCAGAAAACTCAATGCTTTTTATTATCAGGTGTTTTTCCAGGCTTTCATGACTTTTTAAACTCCTCCAAGAATCATACCTGGGAATGATCTCAGTCTCCCAGTCATGATCTATTTTCATTTATTTGGAAGCTAGCATGCATTTTTTCAATATTCAATAGTAGAGAGCTGTTAGGTTTTTATTATTTTATTAGGGGAACATAGGTTTTTAAAGTATCCTGCACTTTGCTACAAGCTGGGAAAATAACTTGTGGAAAGTAAACAGCAACCCTTGCCTCAAGGCACATATTCTGGCACGAGGAAACAGATGAAGTAATTGGATTAATTATGCCATACTTACAAAGAAGGGAAAATAATGAGCAAGAAGAGGCAGGTAATTTTAGATATAGTGGTCAGAATGGCCCTTATTAAAAGTGTAACATCTGAAGGAAGACTTGAAGGGGATATCTGAAAATAGCATGTTTCAACTTCTGCACATTTGGGGCATGAAGAAGGGAATGTGGCCCAGACAGAGGTAGAGGGAGGAGCATAGTCAGAGAAGACCAGACCCAACAGGGCCATGGCCATTGTTATTAACCTCTGGCTTTACAGTTGAGTATCCAGCCTGATCCAGCATTTCAAAGAGTTTCTCTGGCAGCTGGGCTGAAAATAAGTTTTAGGTGGACTGAAAAAATAGTGTATTAAGTGGTAGGTGAGTCTCTAGTTCAGCTAGACACCATATTTTTTCCTAAAATGATTAGAAGCTACCCAGCATTTCCACTGCTGTTTTCATGAGGAAGTACCAGAAGGGCAGAGTTGTCTCACAGCTTCATTGGCCCTTTTAGATAGAGGTCTGTTTTGAATATTAATCCAGAGAGTGTTGTATACTTCTGTTTTTTTTTCTGGGATTGCAGCTGAAATTGCATTCAAAATCATGGCTGGTCTCAAGAATTCTCAGAGGACAGCTAAGAACAATCTCAGTGCATCACTTGTACTTTTCATGGTTTTTCCTTTATGTGGAAAAAGAATTTCTTGTGACACTATGCAAAGAAACAAACTCTGATTTTTTAAAATCACATTAAAACTCTCAGTTCTATAAAAGAAACAATACTTACCATGACAAAGAGATATTATATAATGCTAAATTTAATTATATGGATTTTAAGTGCCATAAGGATTGAATAAAGCTGAAATATTCTAAGAAATGATAGTCATGTTTTGAATGCCTTTTGGGAAACACATTTTTTTGGTTGTTTGTCTCAAAATGGAAAGATGTTGCACTTTTTTTTAACATTGATAATGGCTCATTACAGAAGTGATTTTTCTCCCATGTGGGAGACCTGGAGGAAGTTCCTGGCTCCTGGCTTCAGATCGGCACAGCATCGGCCGTTGTGCTCACTTGGGGAGTGAATCATCGGACGGAAGATCTTCCTCTCTGTCTCTCCTCCTCTCTGTATATCTGACTTTCCAATAAATAAATAAATCTTTAAAAAAAAAAAAAGAATCTATATGTGCTGGCAGACAGTGTGGTGCATAAGGTTAAGACCCTGCCTTGGACTCCTGCACCTCACCTTGGAATGCCAGTCCAAGGCCTGGCCTCCCCTGTTCTGATCCACCTTACTGCTCTGTTCCTAGGAAATAGTGGATGATGTCCCAGTAATTGAATTTCTACCGACCATGTAGGAGATTCAAATGGAATTCCAAATTCCCAGCCTCAGTCTGACCCGGCCCTGGCTTTTGCTGGCATTTTGAGACTGAACCAACAATCAGATTAAAGCAGATAGAAAATCAGTCTCTCTCAATCTTTCTCCTCCTCTTCCCCCTCTCTCATCACTGTGTGTTTTCAAGTAAATTTTAAAAATAAAAGAAGATATAATAACATTTAAAAATAATCTATGTGTCAGGTAAAATTGGGGGAAGGGGATAAAGAAGATAATTTTTCATATAAATAATACAATGTCCATAAGGCTAAGCAAGAAGAACAAACATGTGGTATTTAAATCCTAATATCTATTTCTAAACAGAGATTAGAGAACCTTTGGAGAAAAAAGTTGGTTAGGTAAAAAGTAATTATAAAGATAAGAAAAATTGAAAAGCTGAGCAATATTCTAGTACTGCTTTAATTAGATAGAGAAACCTTTCAGGGTATATGACAGGCCAGACATAAAAGGGGGAGAATAAAACTAAGAGACGTTTCATGTAGTACATGTTTGTGTTCTACCTTCCGATTTCTACCAGAAAACCTAACATCTTTAAACCTGACTATAGGTACTCTGGGGGGTAGTGAAAATAACCGAATTCAGTAAATCACAAGGGAAGCCTAGAACTGGAACACTCATTACTTTGTCAGTTCTAGCAAGAAATTCCACTTCCCAGTTCCTTCAGATACATTACTTTGATGACGCTTCCAAAGAGCAAAGCTCCTTTCATCATCAAGCCAGTAATTGTGCAACAATTTCATTATGATGCTGCTAAAAAAAATGTACACGTTCTGTCTGTACATAACAGGGAAATAACGTAATATTGGCCCAGCCATAGTAAAAGCATTGCGAAATAAATATGATAGGGAAAAATTCAGAAAAAAATTAGTTAATTTTGATAGTCACAGTAAAATTAACAGTTATTAATTTTTACCCAAATACCGTGTTCAACGTGTAAAACGATCTGCTGATTTGTTTTCTCCAGCCTGCAAGCCCTGGGCAGCCTGTGTCTCCACTTCTCAGACGTTGTACCTCAATCCTGGAAACTATTGTAAGAACTGTTCCAGGTCTTCTGCAGGCTGTCTTCCTAATAGCGAAAGTAAAGTACTTTTCAGGTACAGTATCCCTTAGAAGCGTAAAATCACCTTTTTATTCTGATGCTGGTTAAAAACAGGTGTTAAACAAGTAGTTTGAGCCTTTGGGAATTAAGATGCCTTGCTGACTATTTTGTCTGTCATGGAAGCAGGTAAAATTGAGGAACATAACTGAACAAAACGTAATTTATAATCTCTTCTTCCCCTACTCTCCAACACGCTTGAATGGGAGCTGGTCTACCATTCTGTATTTCAGACCAGTCTGTCTGAAATATGACAGTGTCTTGTTTGCCTCATCTTAGGTGATATTGAAGCAGCTTACAGTAACCTGCAGCATTGCCTGGAACACAGTCCCTCTTACGCAGATGCTCATCTCCTGATGGCACAGGTTTATTTGTCTCAAGAAAAGTTCAAGTTGTGTTCTCAGTCTCTTGAACTTTGTCTGAGCTATGATTTCAAGGTAAGTGTTCCAGACTCAAATGTAGAAGACTTAATACCCTCCTTCTTGAATCTTTAATGAATGTTGAAATATTTGGCTGTTTTGTATTCTATAGCTTGTGCCATATTTCGTGTGTGTGTGTGTGTGTGTGTGTGTGTGTGTGTGTGTGTGTTAGTGACAAAAGAACTGAAACTAATGTTTGATCTTTCTGCTTTCTAAGAACTTTGGCTTTATTTTCCATGAAACTCCATATTGTAATAATCTGTTCTATGCGACAATGAATGTAAAAATAATTGCTCATATTTTCTCTTTTGCTATAGAAGAAAGTTGTGATCACCACTGTGTCATCCAAGAGCATTCCTGTTAGCAATAACTGATTTCCCTGATCTAAGTAGCTCTTATCAGTAATCAGAAGGTCAAAAAGGGAACAGAAATAGGTCTCAAGTGCATATCACAAATGCGTTCTCCCTAGTCCTGTTATGTTGTATTTGATGGATGGCAAATTGTAGTTAATATTGTAAACTTTTCACAAAAATACTATTTTGTATTTTTTTTAAGGTGAGAGAATACCCTTTATATCATTTGATAAAAGCTCAATCACAAAAGAAAATGGGAGAAATAGCAGAAGCAATTAAAACTCTGCATATGGCAATGAGTTTACCAGGAATGAGAAGAACCGGTACTTCCTCAGAATCAAAATACAGGAAAACTGAAGTTGATACAAGCCATCGTTTATCAGTTTTCCTTGAACTGGTAGAGGTTCATCGCTTAAATGGAGAGCAGGTAGGTCAAGCTTTAATTTATTGTTCAGACCTAAACCTTGTTTCACTAGGATGAGTGGTAAAGTTTAGAAAAAAACTATTGTTATTATTATTCTGCACCAGAACACGTTCTTTCTACAACCTCCCGAAAGTTAAGCAAAATTAACTTCTAGAGGGCTTTATAGGTCAGTATGCTTATGCTGACTATCAGAAACTGCAGTGGTATGATTTATAATTGTATTGACCACTGGGAGAGGTCATTATGTAACACAGTTTTAATGAATCCCAAACAGGATTTACTCACACAGACACATAAGGTGTACACTACTGTAATAAAATGAAAGTATCAACTTTAAATTTCCATAATTAAAAGAACAAAAGAAATACTGAATATGACTTTGTGAAGATTAACTAAGTATTCAATATCCAATATTGAATATTCAATAGCATACAGATACCTTAAAATAATCATATATATAGATAGATTTATATACAGATAGATAGAATGTAATTCTGAGAGAATTAAAATCTTATATGAAACAAAGAATATCATTTACATAAGTTTTATTTGGGGACACAGAAGTTGCTAATTAGTTATTTTCAAATTATAGTGGAAATTAAGAAGGCTGTGTTTCTAGACACTATTCCAAACACAAAGAATTTCTATGTTCTTTAATAAGTTAAAATACATTTGGCAAGCAGGACCTTTTCAAGCATATTTAGCTAATTCTAAGTATTTTTATTTCACATTTAAACATTTCTAAGAATGTCATGGCATCTACAAAGCTGAGATGAGTGTTAAAATCGGTGACACTTTTGACTTACTAAAGAACTCATTTGAAAAAGGTAAATTATTCACCTGCGTAACAACAAAAAATGTTGTTCCAGAAGGATTAAAATAGTCTGCTGCCTAGGAGAAAGCCGTTGTGAACAGTAGGTGAGCATGGATTCAGGAACCCAGCCTTCCTAAGGAGGCAGCAATGAACACAGAAGTTAGGCTACCTGAGTTTGAATTGTGAATTAGCTTTTTACCTCTCACATCGCCATTTCTCTGTGAAAGGTGGGGATAAAGATAGTAACTGTCTGAGAGTAGGTTTGTGTAAATTAAATGATCAGAATCTAATTCTGGGTTTACATAGGTTCTCATTGAATTGTAAAATGACTTTGCTTAGCAACTAGTGTTGGTTTAGATGTCAAAACATTTGTCTAGCTAGAAAATATCTATGGTCACATTTCATTTTATTCTCTGAATTTAACTTTCAGATTTTGTGCCTTTCAGAAACTTCAGTACTTTTTGTCATGAATATCATACCTATATCAGTATTCACTATTCATTCTGTCTTACTAGAAAATTTCTCTTTCTAGTGTAATTTGACAAATATCTTGAAAGACTTTTAATTTCATCCTGACAGCATGAGGCAGCAAAAGTTTTGCAAGATGCCATCCATGAGTTTTCTGGAACATCTGAAGAATTACGTGTTACAATTGCCAATGCAGACCTGGCTCTGGCTCAGGGAGATGTTGAGCGGGCTCTAACCATGCTTCGAAATGTTACGGTAGAACAGCCTTATTTTATAGAGGTCAAAGAAAAAATGGCAGATATTTATCTGAAGCACAGAAAAGAGAAGATGTTGTATATCACATGTTACAGGTAAACAGTTATTTGAGTTCACTAGATCTGACACATCTACCTCCTGAAATTAATTTATAATTTACCTGTAGTCTTCCTTTCTACCATTTACAGATACTTTATAATTATAGATTCTTTCACAACTGAGGTTTTGTTACCTTCTGTCACCAACCACAGTCAGTATAACGAAGTAATCTGCTGCCCAAAAATGTCAGTATGGCTATTTTGAACTATGGATTCTTTAGTTTCTCAGCTCTTCTCAAAAAATGCTATTTCTAGTCCCAGATTCTTCCTGTTTGAAAAACTGCATAGATTCTAATAACTTATGAACATTATGTCATGTGACACCAGTCAGGCACATATAGTACTCAGTGTAGCAGTTGTCACAAAAGAAAGTTATGGCTTTGGGCCCGGCGCGGTGGCGCAAGTGGTTAAAGGTCCTCGCCTTGCACGCCCGGGATCCCATATGGACGCCGGTTCTAATCCCGGCAGCCCCGCTTCCCTTCCAGCTCCCTGCCTGTGGCCTGGGAAAGCAGTCGAGGACGGCCCAAAGCTTTGGGAACCTGCACCCGCGTGGGAGACCTGGAAGAGGCTCCTGGCTTCGGATTGGCATAGTATCGACCCGTTGCGCTCACTTGGGGAGTGAACCATCAGATGGAAGATCTTCCTCTCTGTCTCTCCTCTCTGTATATCCGCCTTTCCAATGAAAAAAAATAATAAAAATAAATCTTTAAAAAAAAGAAAGTTATGGCTTTGTATACAACATACCAAGGTATGGATTACAGAATTTGCTTGGTGAAAGGACAGGAAATTAAAAATTTTAAAGTTTTGTTTAGAATTCACATAAATGTACATAAACTCAAGTTGCTGTTCCTCTTAAACAGAAGGGTAAGTATAAAACACACACTGAAGCTAAGAAAAAATTATCTCTTAAGAACATAGTAAAACTGATGCATTAATTTAAGACTGTTTCAGCTATAATATATAAACACCAAAGCTTTAAAAACTATTCATATTTTTTGTGTGTGTGTGGGCTGAGAGATTGAGAGAAACTAAGGAGCACTCTATGCGGTTTTTTAATTTTATTTTTAAGATTTATTTATTTTTATTGGAAAGTCAGACATACAGAGAGGAGAGACAGGAAGATCTTCTGTCCACTGATTCACTCCCCAAGTGGCTGCAATGGCCAGAACTGAGCCAATCTGAAGCCAGGAGGCAGGAGCTTCTTCTGGGTCTCCCACTCAGGTGCAGGGTCCCAAGGCTTTGGGCCGTCCTTGATTGCCTTCCCAGGCCACAAGCAGGGGGCTGGATGGAAAGCAGGGCCACCGGGACACAAACTGGCTTCCACATAGGATCTTGGCTCCATATGAGATCCCAGTGCGTGTAAGGCAAGAACTTTAGCCACTAGGCTACCACACCAGGCTCACACTCTGTATTTTGATAGCTGAATTGGAGTTCCTAAGTCATATATTTTATGATCAGCAATATCTTTAATGAAAATAAATTATGTTTAAAATAGGGATGATTGGTTTTAGATGAACAATTATAGTATGAAGCTATAGATTTTTGCTTTATTTCTGGCATTAATTAGAATGCTTGTCCTTTATAAAATTGGGATAAGAATTACCTTTCTCAGAGTTATTGTGCCAATTATATAAATATTGTATGATAGAAACTTAGCACAATAATTTTTGAATAATTTTATGTTTTGACCAAATTAAACCTATATTTTGTGGACAAAAAAGTAAGCAGCAGTAATACAAGTAATGTGATTACTTTATTACTTGTATTTTTAGAAGTAACACTTCAAAATAAAATTGTTCTGTGACTTTCAGAGCTCAGGATGTGTAACAGATCATTTTCAGAATCTTCATTCCCGTATCATTTCATAATAAAGATACCAAAATATGAGTTGAAAATTAAGTTTAATGAAGAGTTACAGTTGCTGTCAATGCTTTGTTACTTACATTTCAAAAGATTTACCTGGAATAAACAATTTGGGTATTGGTATGTGTGGTAGTTTTTTTTAATTACACTGTTGGATATTTAGGAAGTAATTTTAAATTTAATAAATATTAATAAATATTTAATAAATATTATTGTTCGTTGTATTAGTTTAGAAAATGTATTGATTAAATATTAGTGTTTTAATAGTTATTAAATAACCAGTAAATAATTAATGTATTAAACTAGTTAACCATAAATAATTAATGTATTAAACTAGTTACTAAATAATTAGTAAACAATTCATGCATTAATCACATACACTAAGTTGGTCTGTGTTGCAGGGAAATTGCTGAAAGGATGCCCAGCTCTCGATCTTTTCTTCTCCTTGGTGACGCATACATGAATATTCAAGAGGTAAACTTAAATTTGCTTTTGAAACACTCTAATGATCAATATAACTTTCTTTTAAAAGGACTTTCTTTTATATGTATAAAAAATTTTTTCGTTATTACATTTAACTTGGCAAAATTCAAGTATCACAATAAAAGAACGCTTCTATTGTAATTTTTTTAATTTTAATTTTTTTTCAAGTTGAAATCCAGTAATTGAGCACCCTCATTATTGGAAACAGATATCATTGCCAGAAATGTGTCTTAATGTGAAGAGGAGGGCAACAGTTTAAGATAGTGTTCTTTACAAGGAAACAATCCTCCAGCTCTCTGTAACTTGTGATTCTGCCAGAAATGAAAAATAGGATGTCATCTCTTAATTCTCATGATGTTGCTTATGTGGATTAGAGTGATTAGCGTGGATAAGATTACATTTGATCTTAGCTAAAATGCCAAGAAGTGAACACATTGGTAAGATTATACCACTAAGTTGTACTTACCCTACTCATCACATTTTTGGAATTGCTAAAGTTCCTGGAATTTAATATATATTTAGTCTTGGAAAATATTTCAAATGTTAGAGCACAGTTACAGAAATGGTGCCATTTAGTAGGATCTCCTTAAGCTGTTTTAATTGCTTTTCTGTGTGTCTTATAATATTAGCCTGAAGAAGCCATAATTGCATATGAGCAAGCATTGAATCAGAACCCAAAAGATGGAACACTGGCAAGCAAAATTGGTAAAGCCCTTGTCAAAACTCACAATTACTCAAAGGCAAGTACTTTATAGTGTGAAATGCACCTTCTGGATGAAACTTAACCTGTTTTAGAGAATTCTTCAAAAAGTACCATTTACATCTTTGATAGTTGCAAATTCCAGATTTGTATCATGAACTGAGATTTACATTGAAGACTTTTTCAGTGTCTGAAATTCTTTATTGCTCCATCTGTAGAGATTGTTTACAGGCTAAAATTTCCTTCAGGCTTCATGTTACATGCATATCCTTGCAGCCGAACCAGTTGCATGAAGCTGCTCTTCTTACATCTTACATTATATGACAAAGCTTGATAAGTGTACTTTCTGTTGTGAGAATATTAGAAAATTGCATGATTTCAGGGTGGTTTTTTTTTTCTATTAGGAATAACAGGTTTTCCTTTAACTTGTTTTCTTGCCCTATTCCTAAGTCAATGTTAAGTGTATATCATTCAGTAAAATTTATCTAGGATAAAATCAGTAAAACTTTCTTTGACATGCACAACTCTTCAGCCATTTATGATAACAAGTGTTAGTTACTTTAGGTGGCATTGGATTTTCTGGAAAAAAAAAAAGCACTAATCCTTAATAATAGCATAGTTGTGTGCCTAACACTCTTCCTAACTTATTTCCAACTGCATTTATGCTTTCAATCCCTATGCTTTGCTTAAAATACCTGTGATTGAATATCATTCTCACTGCCTTGTTTTCCTAACTGAAATGGATTTTGTTTAGGCAATTACTTACTATGAAGCTGCTCTGAAAAGCGGACAGCAGAATTACCTTTGCTATGATCTTGCTGAGCTCTTATTAAAGTTGAAATGGTATGACAAAGCAGAGAAAGTTCTTCAGCATGCTCTTACTCATGATCCAGGTATGAAAGTCTTTCTGATTTAAAGAAATTATACCTTATAAATCCAGTTTGTTTTATATGTATTATACATAAATATGTATTTTTGTTTGCAGTATTTCCTACATGTATTTGGTTACATGGAAAAACATTTAAATATTTTATTATTTTCCTAAATAGTGTTTAACATGGGAATTATTTTCTTCTTTGACATGAATTGAATCTGAAGACCGATTTTTAAGCTGATTTTAAATTTTCATATGAATGCAGAAATGTGCCAGAGAAGGTGATAACTTTAAATTGGGGAGGTGGAGATGTCAATGATGAGGAAAATGAATTGAATGTCCATTGGATCATTATACTTTATTTTTTAATTCTTATTTTCTGTTTTACAATTTTGCAGACATAGGACCTCCTCTCTTCCCACCCCCATCCCATTCTCTCCCCTCTATTATCCCCTTTGTTTTGTAGTAAAATACTCTGTCAGATGTAGTCATGACTCCAGCTTTCTGCTCTTTATGTGGGTCATGACACTGTTAGTATAGGCAATGGCAGAAATTGTAATATTTGTTGTCTACATATATTTAGAAGTTTCATTGAAAGCCTGCTTTTATTCAGTACTAGAGATGTATTCTGTTGATTTTGTTTGATTCCTGGTACTCTGATCTCCGATATACCTTCGTTTGTGAGATTACAATTGTATTTTTATTTACCTTTAATTTCTGTTATTTTTCTATGGAGATTGTCTTAGAGCAAACATGTTATATTTGTCACTTTGGGATTGGCTCATTTCACTGAGTGCAATGGTTCCAACTGAGACCATTTGGTTGCGCAATGGTCTCCAATTGAGACCAAATGGTAAAATTTGATTCTTTTTAATAGCTGAGTAGTATTCCATAAAATCATTGTACCATAGTATCTTTATCTAGTCCTTCAGTGGCATCTAGCTTGTTTCCATGTTTTTGCAGTTGTTGATTGTGCTGCAGTGAATACAGGGGTGGAGGTTGCTTTCTCATGTATATGTATCAGTCCTTTTGTTTATACTCCCAGGAGGGGGATTGCTGGTTCATATGGTAAGTGAATTTTCAGTTGCCTGAGTATTCTCCATACTAGCTGCACCAGCCTGCATTTCCAGCACTATTGTAGGCCATTCTCACCGTGGTTAAGTGAAACTTCAGTGTGGTTTTTATTTGAATTTCCATCATTGCTAAGAAGCTTGAGCATTTTTTCATGTCAGTCATTTGGATTAGTTCCTTTGAAAAATGCTCATTTTCTTTGCCTATTTCTTAACTGGCTTGTTTTGTTTTCTTGTTATTGTTTCTCTGGAATTCTTTGTTTATTCTGGACATTAGCCATCTGTTATGGGGTGTGCAAAGATTTTCTCTCACTTTGTTGGTTGCTTCTTTACTTTGTTGATTATTTCCTTTATTGTGGAGAAGCTATAGTTTGATATAGTCCCATTTGTTTATTTTGGTCTTGACCACCTGTGCTTTTGGTGATTTTTTCTATGCAATCTTTGCATATGCCTATATTTTATAGAATAATTCCTATCCTATGTTTTCTTCTAATAATTTAATGGTTTCTGAGTGTAGGTTTAGATACTTTATTTAGATTTGGTCTTTATGTATGATGAAAGGTGAGGGTCTTGTTTCTCACTTCTGCAGGCTGCTATCCACTTGTTCCAGTAACATTTGTTGAAGAGACCAACTTTTTCCCCTGGGTTGTTTTCTGTTCTCTTGTCAAAGATCAATTAGCTGTACATGTGTGAGCCCTCTTCTGGTGTTTTTATTCTGCTCCATTTATCTCCCTCTCTGTTTCTTTACCAGTGCCAGGTTGTTTTGATCACCTCTGCCCTGTAATATGTCCTAAAGTGTGGAATTGTAATCCTTCCAGCTAGATTCTTATTCTTCAAGATAGTTTTGGCTGTTCGTGGTGTTTTGCATTTACAGATGAATATTTGTATCATTTTTTCTCACTCTTGTGAAGGATGTTTTGGGGTTTTGATTGGGACGCATTGAATCTCCTCATTGCTTTCAGTAATATGGATGTTTTGATGATGATGTTGATCCAGAAATATGATATAATACTTCATCGTTTAAATTCTTTTTCTATTTCTCTATTTCTATTTACTATTATAGAGGTCTTCCACATCTATAGTTAGATTATTCCAAGGTATTTAAGAGTCTTCTCTGTTATTGTAAAAGGGACCATACTGACTAATACTTTTTCAGCCCTGGAGTTTGTGTATACTGGAACCATTGATTTGTGTTCATTTATTTTGTACCCTGCCACCTTACCAAACTCTCTTATAAGTTCTACCCATCTCTTTATTGAGTTTTTTTATTTCTTTTATGTATAGAATCATGTTGCTTGCAAACAGAGACAGTTTGACTTCCTCTTATCCAGTTTTAATTTCTTTTCTTTGCCTGAAGCTCTAGAGAGCACTTCCAGTACTGTGGAGAGTAACAGTGGTGATAACAGACATCCTTGTCTGTTTCCAGGTCTTAGTGGGAAAGCATCCAATATTCCCCTATTCAGTATGATGCTGGCATTGGGTTTTTCATAAATTGCTTAGACTATGTTGTAGAATACAACCTTGCTTAGGGTTTTTAGCCTGAAGTGGTGTCTGTCTGCATCTATTGAGACAATCATATCATGTTTGTTCTTCAGTTTCTTGATGTGGTGAATCACATTTATACGTTCGAGTGTGTTAAACCACCCGTGCATGGCAGGGGTAAATCCCACCTTGTCTAGATGAATGCTCTGTCTGATGTAGTATGCATTCTACTGGCTAGTATTTTGTTAAAGATTTTAGCATCTGTTTTTTTCAGAGGTATCAGTCTGTAGTTTTCTTTTTCTTTTGTGTCTCTGGTTTCAGTATTAAGGTGATGTTGGCCTCATAGAAAGAGTTTGGAAGGACTGCCTCCCTTCCTATTGTTTTGAATAGTTTATGAAGAATTTGGGTCAGTTTTACTTGGAATGCTTTGTGGAATTCAGCAGTGAAACCATCTGGGCCTAGGCTTTTCTTTTTGGGAAGGGATTTAATTACTGATTCCATCTCTGCCTAGGTTATAGGTTTATTTAGATTCTTTGTTGTCTCATGACTCAGTTTTGGTAGATGATATGTGTCCAGGATTCTGTCTATTTCTTGAAAGCCTTCTGACTTACTGGCAGATAGTTGCCTGTAGAAAAATCTGATTATTCTCTGTATGGCCATGGTAGCTATTATTATGTTGCCTTTTTGTCTTTGATTCTAATAATTGTTGTCTTCTCCCACTTTTTATTTTATCAGTTGGGTGAATGAGATGTGTAGTCTCTATTTTCTTGAAGAGCCAACAATTTGTTTTATTGATTTTGTGTGTTTTTCTTTTGGTCTTTTTTTGGTTTGTTTCCTCTCATTTTGATTATTTTTTTCTGTTGGTCTTGAGATTATTTTGCTGCTGTTTTTCTGGCTCCTTTGGGTATGTGCTTTTCTTGTTTGCTAATATAGGCACTAATTGTGATAAATTTGCCTCTTAACACTGCCTTGAGAGCATCCCACAGGTGTGTTGTATTTGAGTCTTCATTGGTTTCAAGAAATTTTTAAATTTCTTGTCTAATCCATTGTTTGTTCAGTACCATGTTGTTCAGCTTCCAAGAATTTACAAATTTTCTGGGGTAGTTTAACTTACTGATACCTAGTTTGGATTCCATCATGATCTGACAATATGCATGATAGCTTTCAAACAAATTTTATCCTTATGTTGTATCTGTTGCTTCCAAATTTGTGAGTAGAGAGGCTTCAGCTTCAGTCTGTAAACAGTGTCGCCCTGGTTGTGTCCTTTAGCCCTGAGCATTCCTAGGTCATGGCTGGGCTTTCTTTTGCATAGTCTCTCTCTCACTGTTTTTTTCTGTGGCATCTGGGGTCAGAGGGGTTACTGTAGCACAGGGCCACACAGTTGCACATCTGTTTGGACAGTGTCCCACCCACTGCTCGTGAGGCTGTGAAGTGGAACAGACTAGTAGGTCTTCACTCTCTTCTGCTGGTTTACTGCTGTTTTCTGTGGCTTCTGGGGTGAGGAAGGTTTCTATAGTGCAGGGTGTTTTGCTGCTGTTTTCTGTGGAGTCTGGAGTCAGAAAGAGGCACTGCCCAAGGGGCACTCAGCATGTGGTCTTGTGTTTCTGATTCTCCCTGCCCACAGTCTGTGGAACTTTGAAATGAAGCAGGTGGTTTTATTGCCAGCACCTCTGTCAAGACTGCTTCAAATGTTAGCTCACTGTTTGGCTAAGTTTCCTGATTTCTGGGGCTGCTCAAGCAACCACCTGCCACTAATGTTCATGTACCTTTGTGTCTTTACCTTGCTTACCTGTTTGGCTCTTGACCCTCCAGGTGTTGCCGACTGAGCCTCCGGGTCTTATCTGTAGCCAAGGGAATGCATCTGGGCTTTCATTGTTGTTTACTCTGGGGTTCATGCAGCTGATTGAGATCTAGTTTCTGACCCACAGTGATCTAGCATCTCCCTCTTGGCTGGTTCTGGTATCTCTCCAGAGGGTTTGGAGTGAACTCTGATTTCCTTCCCTGAGTCCCTCACTTGACTGGTTCACTCCCCAGAGATTCACTCCACCGTAAATGGCTCGCTTCCCAGTGGCATGACTGCCCCAATCTAGGGGCATCCAATTGGGAACTTCAATTTGTCTCCCTTTGCTGGTGTTTTATCCTATAGCTTTTTACCTCATACTGTCCCTTTGGGGAGACTGCCACTGGGAGTCTGCCTGCTCCTGTTACTTTTGTGTTGGCTTTGAATTTACTAGGCTTTTGTTTGTGGGTAGGGGTGCCTTTCCTTAGCTCGCCTTGTGCGCACCTTCCTCTTAGGGTGTTGGCTATAACCTCAGTCATTTTCATCAGATTTTTTTTTTTTGGTCTGTTCAGTTCTGCTTCTCTCTGGTGGCCTCCAGGAAACTTTGCTCACCCTGTCTGGTGATTTTCCTTTTCCGGCTCTGTGCTCCACCTATTTTCTCACAGCTCTATCTGCACTCTTGGCTACATGTTCCTACCCTGATCGGCCATCTTTGCACTGCCCATATTGTTCTTTTTAAAGTAGTTTGTGATTTAATGCATGTTCTGCTTGCATATATATAAACACAATAACTGTACCTTTCAGAAATTGACTGTTCTATTTTCCATTTTGTTTCACACCCATCATGCACCATCATGCAGATATAGTTTTATTTCAATGCATTCTTATTATTCTGCATAATGGCATCGTAACATTCAACAACTCACAAAATTGCTTAATTTTCCCTGAACTATTGAGATTTTAATTTATTTCTCATAGTTTTTTTTTCTTAAGATTTATTTATTTATTTGAAAGGAAGAATTGCAGAAAAGAGACAAGAAAGATCTTCCATGCACTGGCTCATTCTCCAAATGGCCATGACAGCCAGGGTTGGGCCAGGACAAAGCCCTAAGTCTTTTCATCTGAGTCTCCCATATGGGCAGTCAAGGCCCAAGCATTTGGGCCATCTTTGGCTGTCTTCCCAGGTTCATTAGCAATGAGCTGGATCGGATGCGGTATAGCTATGTCTCAAACTGTTGCTCATATGGGGTGCCTTCCTTTTTACAGCACCCTAGCCAGCTCCACTGCAGGATTGGCCCCTCATTGCCAGAATCTTAAAATTACTGAGATAAATCAGAGCTGCAGCCACTCGTATTCTCCATAAAAAGCTACATTTATCAACTTGGGTGTTGTCCTAATTCGTCTAGCCACCAGGGCCCTTTGTGTCTCTCTTGTACACAAAATTATAATCAGCCCTCCTTTCTTAATCTGTGGATTCAATCAACCATGGATTAAAAAATATTCAGAAAAAAAATCTATGCTGAACAGGTTCACAGTTTTTTGGTTTTTTTTTTTTAAAGATTTATTTATTTTTATTGGAAAGTCAAATATACAGAGAGGAGGAGAGACAGAGAGGAAGATCTTCCATCCAATGATTCACTCCCCGAGTGGGCACAACAGCAGGTACTGCACTGATCCAAAGCCAGGATCCAGGAACTTCTTCCAGGTATCCCACATGGGTGCAGGATCCCAAAGCTTTGGGCCATCCTCCACTGCTTTCCCAGGCCACAAGCAGGGAGCTGGATGGGAAGTGGAGCTACCGGGATTAGAACCGGTGCCCATATGGGATCCCAGGTGCATTCAAGGAGAGGACTTTAGCCTCTAGGCCCCATCGCCGGGCCCAGGTTCAGAGTTTTTAAAGTCACTATTTCCCAAATAATAACATGCTAAAATTATTTACACTGCACCTACATTTTATTTGGCATTTTAAATAATTTGGAAATGATTTTAAATATACAAAAGGACTTGTTTTCACTGTCAGCTAACACTGTGCCATTTTATGGAGGGAATCTAAGAATGTTTCTTTGGAAACTTAGAGATGACTGTATGCACCACTTTTCCCATCTAAATACATTGTACCTGTAATTTTGCCATATGCACGTTACCTCTGATAATTTCTTTCTGTACTGGAAAATATTGCTCTTTATTTTTGGCAAATGTAGTATATTCTGCTGTGTGTTTAATGTCGTATTTGATGAGTCCCCTATTGATGGATGCTTAGATTGGAGAAAACTTAGAAATAATATTAAGACAAAAATCATTGTTATATAAAACTTCCTAAGAAGTTACTTCCTAAGATTGACTTTGGCCTTTAATAATCTTTCCTGGAAAAGCTCCTTCATATTTTATTTGAAAGAGTTGAGAGAGAGAGACAGAGAGAGCATTCACTGATTCATCCCCCACATGACCACTGGGGCTGGGCCAGACAAAAGCCAAGCCCTAAGAGCCAGGAGCTGCATCCTTGTCTGCCATATGGATGCAGGGCCCTATGTCTGAGCCATCCCTCTGCTACTTTTCCCTGTGCAGTAGCAGAGGGCTGCGTAAGAAGTGGAGTAGTCAAGACTAGAACAATTGCTCATATAGGATGCCTGCACTACAGGCGGTGGCTTAACCACAGCACTGACCCCAGTTTCCCTACTTTTTTTTTTTTTTAATTTGTGCATTTTATTACAAAGTCAGATATACAGACAGGAGGAAGATCTTCTGTCTGATGATTCACTGCCCAAGTGACCACAATGGACAGAGCTGAGCCGATTTGAAGCCAGGGGCCGGGAATTTTCTCTGGATCTCACACATGGTTGCAGGGTCCCAAGGCTTTGGGCCATCCTCGGCTGCTGTCCCAGTCCACAAGCATGGAGCTGGATGGGAAGTAGGACTGTCAGGATTAGAACTGGTGCCCATATGGGATCTTGGCACTTTCAAGGCAAGGACTTTAGCCGCTAGTTTCCCTAATCTGATGTTACAAAAACGCCTTCTTGTATTTGGCTTTTTTTTTCTTTTTAAAAACAACGAATTTTCATTTAAAGAAATTCTACTTTTATTATAAACTCTTTCAGTTATGTGACTCTGGTTATGGGAATCCTTGTTGTGCTCCACGGAGATTTCTCTCTCTCTCTCTCTTTTTTTTTTTTGCTAATACCATGTGATCTAAAATCAGATTTTTGCCTTCAAACTTGATTTTTAAGTTTATATTTTATCAAGTATGTTTATCTAATACAGCATTTAAATTCTTAACCTAGCAAGTTTTTATCTTTTTATAGACTTGGACAAAGTTTATACACTTAAGAATGAAAATTGAAATTCATATTCTATATTTAGGTTGTTACCTATACAATTCTTTAACCTTACTTCTGTTTCCATCCTAATTTTTAAAAGTTTGATCATCAGTTAACTGAAAATTTTTGAACTTTACTATTTCTCAAGATCATTTTATCTAAAGACCAGTTTTAAGAGTTATAGAAAAATTAAGTACTTGTTTAAAATGAATTTTTTCTATTATCTTCTACTCTTTTATAGTAAATGAACTATCAGCCCTCATGGAAGATGGACGTTCTCAAGTTCTTCTAGCAAAAATTTACAGTAAAATGGAAAGACCTGATGATGCATTCACTTCACTGCAGCAGGTAAACATGTGCTTGTAGTTGTCCAACTTTATACTTGCAGAACTCTGTTTCAAAGAGCATCAACCCTGTGATTATAAAGTAAATTCAAAGTATGTTATCATTTAAAAAAAGGGAAGAAGGAAGGGAGGGAAAGTATCATTATAATCTTAGAATTATATCTGTGATGTACATGTACTCTGTTCTATGTCAATAAAAAAATGTCTACTTCAGTATCAATACCAAATAAAGGAATTGAAAAAAAAAAGCTAACAAAATGGATGTTAAGTCTTTTCACTAAGAAAACAATGTCATATAGATAGTTCATGTGAATTAACTAGATTTTGCTTTCAGCAGTGTATATATACTTTGGACATCCTAAATATGCACTGTTTTATTTGTCAATGAAACATTTAAATCAAAAAGAAGAAAAAAATTTTTTTGGTTCAGACTTTGTTAGATCAAGGACCAATAATGCTAGAATAATTCTTCCATGAAATTAGAGTGTGCATTGTCTAATGTCCTTTTTTGAAAATTTGTTTATATTCTTATCTTTTGCTAGGCTCGAGAATTACAGGCTCGGGTACTAAAACGTGTTCAGATGGAACAGCCAGATGCAGTTCCCGCACAGAAGCAGTTAGCTGCTGAAATTTGTGCCGAGATTGCAAAACATTCTGTTGCTCAGCATGACTATGAAAAAGCAATTAAATTTTATAGAGAGGCTCTGGTTCATTGTGAGACGGACAATAAGGTCAGTACTTTGATGAAACTTTAAGCACCTTTCATTCCTGATGCTGCTTAACTCTCAAATATGAAGTTCTTACTGGCTTATTTATGAAGATTTGAAAAGCATCATAGCAGAAGCACATTAAAAATTAATATTGTTTCTAAAGATTGCTCAAAATATTTATATGATGCCTTAACTTCAGAACATTCGCATCTAAAAACAATAATGGAAATAAACAGGATAAGGCAAACCTACAATATATTTCTTTTTAATACTCTCCAATATTTTAATATTTTCAAACAGTTTCTCAGGATGGTCTGGATCCTAATGATTTAATTCACTTTGCTAATAGCTTTTATACACGTCTGTGTTTCAGTTGTATTTGGTGCTGAGGAAGAAGTGTCTGTACTGATCCTGCAATCTCACATAGCAAAGATGATTTTTGTGTAACATCCTCATGTTCACAGCTGGTTGTATGAACCAAAATGCCATTGTTTTGTCAAGGTTTGAGAAATCCTGGGTAGAAAAACAATTTTTTCTTAAAAACCTTTCTGGTCAATGGCTAATAGTTAAGTGATGCAGAATAAAAGACAGCCATAGTCTAGAATTATGGACAAAAACTGAACCTAATTTTAATATAACTCTCAGATATAGGGCGAAGCTGCCTGTATATAACCAAAAGGATACTTTTACAGTAATGGCTAAAATAGTCAAAATTATCATTATAAATCTGCAGCATACCTTAGAAATTATCTATATGAGCCCTTTTTTAAGAGAAAAGGAATTTGGTATGAACCCATCATTGAAAAATGGAACAGAATCCAATCTCCTGCTTTTAAGACCTAAGACCTGTGTTCTTTTCATAAGGCTTTGCATGTCTGCCTTTTAATTGTGTTTCCACCTGCTTTCTTGTTTCTTTTACCAATGAAAGTGAAAACTGACTGGCAAGCACAGAGTATTCCTTATCTGTTGTGTTTGGAATTTTTATTGTTATAACTTTTGGCCAACTAAAGTTCATTTTATGTTCATATGTTTTTTCATATGGTCTTAGTTTCCAACTAATCCTAACTTTTCCTGTATAGATTATGTTGGAATTAGCCCGATTGTACCTGCTGCAGGATGACCCTGAAGCCTGCCTGAGGCACTGTGCTCTACTTCTCCAGAGTGACCAGGATAATGAAGCAGCCACCATGGTTAGTCCGAGAGCCTCAGCACTTACACAGAGGCAGTTGTGTTTAATACTCCAGCCAAGATCCAACCTTTACACCACATGGCTAACACTAGATAAGCATGATTCATGTTGACTGTTGGAAGAAATCAGAAATTACTCACATTAGCACATTTAACAACAACAGCAAAAAGACCAAGGATCATTTGCATTTTATTTACAGGAATAAGTATATAGCATAAAATAAGGTCAGGCAGTTACTTGCCATGCACCTAGCTAATTTTTCATTATACCCAAGGAAATTCTTGGTCAGGCAGAGTTCATGTGACCAAGCTATAACTTAGTAAATATTATGTTTTAAAAACTTACTTATACATGCTGAACTAACTTAAGAGTTCCAGTGGAACTTCTGGAGCTAGAGAAAATTAAAACTAAGAATTCTTCTGTAACAGACTATTTTTAGTAGAATATTTTCCTTTTTTTTCCTCATCTTTACTTGGCTTGAAGTGTTTGTTGGCTTTTCAAACAGCTGCCTGGCTGACATTTCTTTAGGTTTTGTTAGTTTTATTCAAAGTTGTTTCAACTAAAGAAAAATGTAAGAAGCCATGATTTAAAATGCATAATTTAAGAACCAGTAGGTTTTCCTTGCTTTAAATGCCTTTGAAAAATCTGACTTAAAATTTGTATTGTTTTTAGTGTTCTCATTATTATTATAACCAAATCCAGTGAGACATCTTTTGTATAGTGTCATGGAGAGTGTTGAACTTTCTACTGCAAACATATTTTTTGCTAAAAATATAGTTTCAAGAGCAAACTTCCTCACATTCTTGATTATCTTCTTTACACTGATCTCTAAGCCATTCTGCTCAAGGTGCTTGAACTTGAAATGGCTCCTTTTTACAAATGTCTGTCATTTGTATTTTCATATATGACACTTCATTAGAAGAATATGCTTTGTGAAATATTTGGCAATGTTTTTAGAGCCAACTTTTATCTTCATAGATGATGGCTGATCTCATGTTCAGAAAACAAGACTATGAACAAGCAGCATTTCACTTACAACAGCTTTTAGAACGCAAACCAGGTAAATACACAGCGATCATATACAGTTAATGCAATCATCTCCCTTAAGCCTCCTTTTTGTTTTCTTTCTTTTCTTTTTTGTTTTTGGAAAAACCTCTGCCATGGCTGAATCTGACTCTGTTTTTTCCCACATCAACTTCAGTAACTTGAATGGCTATAAAGAAAACACAGCACTGTTGACTCTTTATGTTATAACAACCCTTCAGTTGGTTCCTAGGACTACTAAATCTACTCTATGTCTCTCATATCGCTACACCAGTTACTTTTACACATTCTGCTTCCTCTTCACGCCCTGACATGATTTCCACCTTGCTTGTCCTCAGCTGACATCCTTGCCTTCTAAATGTCACTGAGAAAATGTGAATTCAGTGACATTAGAAAATGTGTTCTCCATCCTTTATCTCCAAATCTTGCTCTGTTGGTTTTTTTTAGTTTCTTCCCATCCATGGCTAGCTTTTCTTTGCCCTAAATACAACCTCTCAGCTCCTCAAGAACTGTTCTCCTGCAGTTCTCTGTCTCCTGCATTATCAAGTTTATTTTTCTAATCAGTGTACAGCCATGCTATGACATATCCCTACTTTCAATAAACTCATTAAATAAAAGCCAGCTCTTAACTTTCATCCCTCTCTGATGACTGCTGTCTGCCTGTGTATTCCTTTACAGCAAGTTTCTTCTAAAAGGATATGAAATGTGATGTTTTCACTTTGGTTCCTGTCTTTCTACTAGACTCCACCAAGTAACTTAGACAGTGTGGCTAGTGACTTCCATGCTTCTGTGTCCAACACTGTATTCTCAGTTGTTACTTACTTCAGGTTTCCTCATGCATGATTCAGCTTATCACGCCTCCATCTTGAAAAACTTTGTCCTTTGGGACTCAGTTGACATGTCCCAATAGAATGTTTCATTTTTTTCCTTCTCTGTAACTTTATGCCATTTCTCAGCTCAGGCATAGCGTCACTGTTCTTCACAGCCACAGAATCACAAATTCCACAGCCACTTGTGTTTTGTCTTCTCTTACACATCACACTCAGGCTATCAGCAAATCTTTGTGAGCTCCACTGTCACTATCACTGCCTCCTCATCTAAGCTTTCAGTACCATTAACATAGATGTTTTAGGACTCATAATTCACCAGAGTCTTTGCTGCTCAATAATTTAGCTTAGAAATCGTTTCAGAGGGGCCAAGATGGTGACCTGTCAGGTTAATCTTCCTCCTGTGGCATCAGCATCCCATATGATTGTGGCCGAGGAAAGCAGCAGAGAGTGGCTCAATTCCTTGGAACCCTGCACCCAATGGGAAAACTAGAAGAAATTGCTGGCTGTTGGCTTCGGATCAGCCTAACTCAACTTTTCAGCCATTTGGGAACTGAACCACTTGGATTGAAGATCTCTCTCGCTCTCTCTCTCTTTCTCTGTCTCTCTTGCTCTGTAAATTTGCCTTCCAAATGAAAATTAATACATTTTTTACAAAGATGCTTTCAGATGAGATTAGCCAAGTCCCTGCTCCATCTCACACACATACACAAAATCCTAACAAAAGGATTTGACCATTATGTTCCCTAATACAACAAAAGCAAAGTGGACTATGCAGTATATTGCATGAAGGCTCCAAAGGATTTGTATCCTCTGTCTTTGTTCTGCCATCAGCACTCTAACTTCAGTTCTGAACAAATCATGCTCCCAAGTGACCACTGGAGTTCTAGGTATTGATATTTCAGAGCCTCACTAGTGACTGTGCTTGTAGTATTGAGCTAAGAAGGGCACATGTCCCCAGTGAATCATATTCCTGTCCTTTAAAATCTCTCTTGTAGAGTCACCTTTATAGCTGCAAAAGAGAGGTGGAACACAATATCTTGTACCATATCACATGCTAAGCCACGGATTTATGATGTCAGAATTAACCTAAAAACATGCATCTACCTTATGTGTTGTCATCATCATCATCGTCATCATCATCATTATCACTGGATATTCTCAATAGCACATCTTAAACCTTGGCTTAAAGCTCTGTGTTAGCTTACTCCGGAAATATATTGTCCAGTTAGATTTAGCTTAGATAAAGATCTAATTGCTGCTGTCTTGGCTGATTATATCTTTTTGCTCTTGAACTATCCAAATCAATGGGATAGTTTTCCCCCTAACTTCACCTTGTTAAATACTCCCAGCACTCCTGTCTTTTTGAAAGCTATCACATTGAGTCTGTCTTCTCCTAACCCACTGTTATAATTAGAACATTTACTCCTCTAACCTGAACTAGTGCAGTTGCCGAGCTAATCTTCAGCCTCTAAGCTCTTCCTGCTCCCAGCTGTCATAGGGTCATATCAGTTCTAATAAATCAAAAGCTATTCCTTTGTTCTAAATTTGGGATGGCACTTTGGAGTAAAGTTTAACATTATATAATTATTTTAATAATGATATAACCCCAAATTTTCCTTCCATTCGTATTTCTTACCCATCTTCATTCATCTTATTATCTAATAACATCAAAGTTCACACCACCCCTACGTCCTCCCTACTTTCCCTGCTCTCCTCTTCCTGCTCCAGATGCCTTTGTCCATTGAGATTGCTCAGTAATAGACTTCTACCTGAAATCTCTCAAGTCCCTCAGCCAAAATTAGAGATTCTGTACTGTAATTCTATATCACTGCCTTCATGTCTTAACACATCCTACTATTTGTTATCTTCTTACCATCTGTCAATAATTATGGACAAGCTAAATTTCTCAAAGCATGATACATTTTAGTTTATGACTGGATTTCTTACGTGAAGGAATATTTTTATAGAGAAATTCATGAAGAGCTAAAAGATAAGTAAATGGTATTTGATCCTTCAATAGTTAATTAAAACTCAAATAATACAATTCAGTTATTGTAGGAGAAAATTATTGCAGAACCCATCCTCTGAGTGTTGACTTTAGATAGTAGTAGCTTACATCACAATATGTTAGCAATATTGCAGCAAACATATTGGCCAAGGGCAGTGTTGTGGTGCCGCCAGTTATGCTACCACTTGGACACAAGCATCCCATGTCAGAGTGCTGGTTGAGTCTGGACGCTGTGTCTGATCTTCCATCTTGCTAATGCACTTCAGAAGGTGATGGCCCAAGGGCTTGAGATCCCGCCATGCACATGGGAGAAAAGGATGGAGTTCCTGGCTCATGGCTTTATCCTAGGATAGACCTGACTGTTGCAGCCATTTGGGGGTGGGCTGTGTATGTGTGAGCTCTGCCTGTCAAAGGAAAAACAAAATATTTCAAAATATTGGCCAGAAATGTTAATTATTAGTTCCTGCTTCATCATTACAATATCTGTGACTATTATGAGGCAGTCATCCTATTTCCTTTTAATACTTTTAGATATTAATAATGACTTTTAGGCTTTTACTTGATTTCCCTATCAAATTTCAGTCAATTATAATCCTATTTTTCTTTGATTATTTGCAAGAACTGTATTTGTAGCTAGTGTACAAGCCTAATATCTAAATCTTATTTTTCTTAAACTGTATTTTTGTTGTACTCTGTTTTAGCAATCCCAAAAAACAAGAACAAAATCTTTAGATTCAAGATTATGTGTCGGAAAGAGCAAATGATAATATTATCAACCTGGATTATTTTGGCCTTGTGTGATAAAGTAGATGAAAATCTTTCAGAGGTCTCTTTATAAAATAATTTTTTAAAAGATTGATTTCTTTTTATTGGAAAATCAGATACACAGAGAGGAGGAGAGACAGACAGGAAGATCTTCCGACCGATGATTCACTCCCCAAGTGACTGTGACAGCCAGAGCTGATCCAATCCAAAGCCAAGAACCAGGAACCTCTTCCAGGTCTCCCACGCAGGTGCAGGGTCCCAAGGCTTTGGACCGTCCTTGACTACTTTTCCAGGCCACAGGCAGGGAGCTGGATGGGAAGCGGGGCTGTTGGGATTAGAACCGGTGCATGCAAGGCTAGGACTTTAGCTGCTAGGCTACTGCTCTGGGCCCAACATAATTTTTATGGTGAAACATAATATAAAACATATCCTTTATTCATTTTTAAGTGTGTGTTTCAGTGGTATCAAGTATTCCCTCACTTATCCTGTGTAGTCAGAACAGTCTTCCTGAATTTCTGTAATTGGATTATAGATTATGAAGATAGATACTGTTTGTAGAAGGTTTTGATTCCAGGAGTATTTGGAACCAAGTTGTAAACATTGTATTTCTACATTCACCCATTCAAGCTTTCTCACCCTGTGAGTAGCCCTTCCTAACCTTATCATTTCACAGAACAGCCATGTGATTTGTTAGGGACCGTTATAACCTCCAAAGAACTCCTTTTCTTATATTTAAATTGTACTTCATTTGAAATATATCATACTTTAACGATGTAGGAATATAACCATCAAAATGAAAAGTCATCTTTATTGTCCATAATTGAAATATTATTTATTTCTAGATAATTACATGACATTATCTCGTTTGATTTATATTCTAAGAAGATGTGGAAAACTTGAGGATGTTCCACGATTTTTCTTAATGGCTGAGAAACACAACTCCAGAGCGAAATTGGAGCCAGGATATCAATACTGTAAAGGATTGTATCTTTGGTAAATCCATTGACCAAGTAAATCTTACATAATAGTTTTGTCTTATTGTAGGTGAAGTGAAATAAATTTTTCTTTATAGTAAAAAATGTATTTTAAATGTCAATAATTTTATGAACTAGAGTATAACATACTACAAGTTTTGTGGTCAGCGATTGAAATAATTTTTTTAATGTTTAACAAGGTATACAGGAGAACCAAATGATGCCCTTCGCAATTTTAATAAAGCTCGTAAAGATAGTGACTGGGGCCAAAATGCCCTTTATAATATGGTAGAAATCTGCTTGAATCCAGATAACGAAACTATTGGAGGTGAAGTATTTGAGAACTTGGATGAAAATTTGGGGTGAGTAGTGTTTGACATATAGCTTGATACTTGTTTGGGGAAAATAGGCTGGGATACTTTATAAAAGAAACTAAATAATTAGATAACATAATGAAAATTAAGGTGAGTAAGTCATACCTAATAGAACTGTTCTCTACAACTGGCATCAAATGCTTTTAGGATGTTTCTTAAATCAAAATGGACACATTATGAAGACATTCCCTTAATGTAGAAGGGAAAATAAGATAATGTAGAAAATAAGATAAATGGTAGAATTTGACAGCTGTGCCAAAAATCATCCACACAGTAATAGTAACCACTAAATGGTGATTACATACCAAATTCTGTGCTCAATAGGGAGCATATATATTATAAAAATGAATGATCTGATTTATTCCTTGCAACAGTTACATGGAATAGGCTTGACTTGTATATTGTGATCATAATGATAGACTACATTCCAGCTGGTCTCAAAATTCCCACTCTAGTGCCTGGGGCTTGCTGCTGTGAAATGGTTACCTGTCAAACTGTGTGTGCCTTCTCTCAAAATTGGGCAAAGCACGATTGGGAAATGCAAATGGAATAAAGAGAATGTAGGAGGAATGTGAAATTTACATAGGAGGCAAGAAAACTATTGCATCTTCAGCCCCTCAAATAATAAATGAGTTGGAGTATTAGAGAAGTTCACAGAAGTCGTAGCAGTGCATGGTGTCAGGAGAGGAGGCATGGAGGAACACGAGGAAGCGTTAGGTTGCTGAGACCTCCAGAGACAATGTCGAAAGCGAAATTTACATGGAACATTTTAAAGCAAAGGAGAAACTTTTGTATTTTTCATTTGTTTTAGAAGATTTGAGATAAAATACTGTGCAGAACAGTAAGCCTTCCAAATGGAGATTTTGAACAAGCATTTGAAAATATAAAATGATGCACACCCTGGGCAGCAGCAGTGACGCTTCAAATGCTGGAGCCCTTGCCACTCAGCTTAGCTTTTGTTCCTGTTCTGGGTTCAGCCTGGCTCAGTCCCAGCTGTAGTTGTTACTTAGGCAGTGAACCAGTGGATGAAGGATCACTTTCTCTCCCTCTTCCTCTCTCTCTCTTAAAAATTGGAATCTAGAAAGGAAGTCACAACTGGCAAGACGGATTTTGGTAGGTAACTCCCAAGCAAACAGAATTCCAAGAACAACCTCTTCACGAGCAGCGTATGGAAGTCTGAGAACTCAGTTGGGGCTTGCCGACATTGATGGGATTTGAGAGGAGTAAAGGAGACTGGCAAAGGGTAACTGCTGTTGTGGAAAGAGAACAAAGCTGCTCAGTGTTATAGAAGCTTGAGACCAGTTTTGAAGACAATAACCAGATGTGTGTGAGGTTCGAATAAGAACAAAAGACTCAATATCTATGAAAACAACCAACAGCTTTAGAGATTAGACTGTGGGAATTTGGTTGCCTTTATTGACTTCTATCTATATATGCCTATCTGTGTATGAAAAAAACTTGCCAGTACACATTAAAATTTAGTTATACTTGAAATGTAGAACATTTTGACACATGATTTCTTTTATGAAAGACTTATGAGCAACATGGTGAGAAAATAGTATATATTTTGTTGAAAGTCAAGAGTTTCAGAGAGAGGAAGAAAAATTTTCCATTCACCTGTTCACTCCCCAGATGGTTGCAGTGGCAAGGGCTGGGCCAGGCAGAAGCCAGGGGCAAAGAGCTTCATCCAAGACTTCCATATGAATGACAGTGTCCCAAACATTTGGGCCATCCTTCTCTGCTTTTCCCAGGCTATTAGAAAGACGCTGAATCAAAAATAGAGAAACCAGGATATGAACTAGTGCCCATATGAAATGCCAGTGTCACATTTAAAGGCTTTATTCACTATGGCACAACAATAATAAGTTACTTTATCTTTTGGAGCCTCAGTTTGCCAAGTTGAAAAATGGATTCAACCATATGTTGAATGAGGCAATCAGGTACTTGGCCCCTTTCCATTCTTTCCTTTGCTTTCACTTTCAAAATAGATACAGCATTTGAAAATTTAATAGTTCTACTCTATTTCTAGCTTTATATTAGCTGAAATGAACCTACATATCAAATAATGAAGTTATCTTCATTGATTTCTGTCTTTATCCTAGAATGAGATATGGTTTAATAATACTTTTGAGGGCTATGTTAATTTTGCTTAAAAAATACCATGTAACTATATTATTTTGTATTATAAAACTACAAGTGTTGTTTGTGATTACTTTTAAATGAGTAATAAAATGTGAAACTAGCGTAACCAGAACTTCTAATCTCAATGAATTTTGTCTCATGAATAATAAACATAAATGATTTATTTTTAATTGCATACAGTAATTCAACTGAAAAGCAAGAATGTATGCAGTTAGCAGTGAGAACAGCAGAAAAACTCCTTAAAGAACTAAAACCTCAAACAATTCAGGGGCATGTACAACTTCACATAATGGAAAATTACTGCCTGATGGCTACCAAACAGAAAGCCAATGTTGAACAAGCACTGAATGCCTTCACTGAAATAGCAACATCTGAGGTTAGTCATTTCTTTTTTCAACTTGGTATGCTATATTTATGCAAATATATTATCATTAATTTTTTAATTTTCTGAAGATCTGTTTTAAATTATTGACAGTAAAATTGTATGAGCTCCATATATAGCTCCATATATTAGTATATAAAATACACATGCACATACGTTAGCCCTGATTTTTATAATGTACTTTTTTAAAAAATATATTTTATTTTTATTGGAAAGTCAGATATACAGAGAGGAGGAGAGATAGAGAGAAAGATCTTCCGTCTGTTGATTCACTCCTCAAGCAGCCACAACGGCCAGAGCTGAGCCAATCTGAAGCCAAGAGCCAAAACCAGGAACCTCTTCCGAATCTCCCTTATGGGTGCAGGACCCCAAGGCTTTGAGCCATACTCAGTTGCTTTCCCAGGCCACAAGCAGGGAGCTGAATGGGAAATGGAGGAGCCAGAATATGAACCAGCACCCATATGGGATCCTGGTGCATGCCAGGGGAGGATTTTAGTTGCTAGGTACCACTGCTGGCCCTGTGAAGCTACTTTTGTTTCCAGAATAGACACATTTAATTTTTTTATATGTTTCTTTTGTATTTATCTCTATTGGAATGCTGAATTTTACAGAGATGGAATTACATAAAAGGTTATAAATTCACAAGGGAGCAACTTATTTTTCCTCTGGAGAATTTTTGTGGTGTAAATGTAGCCTAGGTTTACTTGCCAAGTGAGAGTCATACCTGGCTACCTTGATATCTTACCTTATCAACTTGTAAACTTGGAATTTTTCTAATGTAGAGCTGAGATCAATACTGACAATTGGTATTTTATCAATGCAAATTATGTTGATGTTCTTTGGCAACATTGAGATAACCTCCTGCGATTTATTATGATTTAGTAGTATTTCCACAAGACGCAAGACATGCCTCTTTTCTCACTTTACTCAAACTCAGTCCTTTCTCACTCTATAGGTGTTCTGAGTTTCCTTCCCCTTACCCATTAAATCACTTGATATAAAGGAAGGCAATGTAGATGTCTACTCCATCAGCAGATAGTAACAGCTCTAAGCATGATCCTCAGGCTTTAGGTTTGCTCTGCCACTCAGCAATTCTATAGACCACTGTCTGTTTAAGTTCATAAGTTTGTATCTCTCAGAAAGTTTACAGTATTTTTTGGCATTTTCTTGTTCTGAGGTCTCACTGGCAGGAATAAGCTATGGAAAAATCTTAACTGGGTCCCTCTCTGCCGTTCTCCCTCTTCCTAATTGAAGGGTCAGGAGACCTACAGCTCTTCCTGTTGGTTGGATGTCATTAACATGGTTAGCACCTTAATTGCCTCTAAGTCTCCCTTCAAACAGTGAGGTTGTGTCAGCAGCAGTTACTCTTTGGACAGAGCACTTTGGGAGATGTTGGAGTAATACTCTCAAAGTCTCTGTGCTATTCAAGGGTTTTGTGAAGTGGCTGGAGACAGCCACTGAGTTAAAGAACAACAGAAAATCTGGGAGGACATGATGAAGTAGTTTCAAGTAAGGTTGCTGAATGGTATGTGGAAGAGTTCTACCATATTAACAGTGAGTTTATTTTCAATGAACTTGTTATTCTTAATGTGCTGGTTAAAAGAAAAAGAAGTAAAAGCAGTGAATGGCATTGCAGCTATTTCCTTCCAAGAAGGACTGCCAGATGAGACTGTTTTTTTTCGAGCCCTTAGTCAATTGTCCATCTCTGTTCCCAAGTTATTTTAACTTCCAGCAATGATCAGTGTTGTACATTGAACATCTTACTGTGCTCTTCTACTTTTGCAATTTTCCTTAAGAGTTACTCAAATTTTATCTCTTACCCTACAACTTTGTTATAGACATGGTGTTGCAATTTCCAAGTTGCCATTCCCTTTAATTGTATTTGAAACTGAGAAGTCCCTTTTTTTTTTAATAAAAGCACCATAATTCCTTTGTTGAAATTTAAGAAATACCATATTTTAAATCGTGGCATACAGTTTATTGTTCATGTAAGTTAGTTTTCTGAATGGATTGCTGCTGGCCTCCGTATCAATCTTAAGAACTAGTTGGTTCTGGGCCCGGCGCGGTGGCACAAGTGGTTGAGGTCCTCGCCTTGCACGCCCGGGATCCCATATGGGCGCCGGTTCTATCCCGGCTGCCCCGCTTCCCATCCGGCTCCCTGCCTGTGGCCTGGGAAAGCAGTTGAGGACGGCCCAAATCTTTGGGACCCTGCACCCGCGTGGGAGACCTGGAAGAGGCTCCTGGCTTCGGATCGGCATAGCACCGGCCGTTGTGCTCACTTGGGGAGTGAATCATGGGACGGAAGATCTTCCTCTCTGTCTCTCCTCTCTGTATATCTGCCTTTCCAATAAAAAAAATAATAAAAATAAATCTTTAAAAAAAAAAAGAACTAGTTGGTTCCAGAGTGATATTTTCTGACTTTGAATTCTATTTAAAAGAATACTGTCCCTATCAGATCCCATAAAGAAGCTGAAGACTCTAAATCTAAAAGTATAAAGAATGAGTTCATTTCCTATAATTCCTAGGTAATTAGCTGCATGCATATCTTATTTATAACATTAATACTAAATTCCTTTTCGCAGTATGGACATTTTGATGATAGTTACTCTACCAATCCACGAATGTAGCAGATTTTTTTTCATATTTTAGTATAATATCTCCCTAATGCTTTATGATTTTCATCATAGAGATCATCCTCAGTTAAAATTATCCCAAGATATTTAAAACTTTTTGCAGCTATTGTGAATGGGATGAACTTACATGTTCTTTCTAGGCCGTGTAACTTTGTGTGTACAAAGACTATTGATTGTTGTGTATTGCTTTTACAGCCTGCAACTTAACAAAACTTTTATATGAGTTCCATCAGTCTCTTAGTGGAGTCTTGGTTCCTGTCATCTGCTAACAGAAATAGCTTGACTTCATTATTTCCAATTTGTATCCCTTTGATTTTATTTTCTTGACTGTGGGCTCTGACTAAAACTTTCATGATTATATTGAACAGCAGTGGTGAGAGTAGGCATTCTTGTCTGCTTCTGGATCTTAGGGAAGTGCTTCCGGCTTTTCCCCATGCAATGTGATGCTGGCTGTAGGTTTCTCATATGTTGTCTTGATTGTGTTGAGGAATGTTCCACTTGTATCCATTTACTTAAGCTTTTTATTATGAAAGGATATTGTATTTTCTCAAATATTTTCTCTGTATCTGTTGAGATAATTATGTGGCCTTTATTCTTTAGTTTGTTAATGTGATATATCTCTTGATTGATTTGTGTATGTTCAACCATCCCTGCATACCAAGAGTAAATCCCTCTTGGTCCAGGTGAATAATCTTTTTGATGTGTTGTTGGATTCAGTTACCTAATATTATCCTGAGTATTTTTGCTTCTATGTTGCTCAGAGATCTTGTTCTATCATTTTCTTTCTTGCATCTTCTTCTTGTATTGGATTTAAGGTGATGCTGGCCTGATAGAAGGGGCTTTGGAAAGATTACCTTCCTATCCATTGTTCTCAATAGCTTGACAAGAATTGGAATTCATTCTTTGGACATGTGGTAGAATTCAGCACTGAAACCATAAGGTCCTGGATTTTTCTTTATTGTGAGGGTCTTTATTACTGATTCAGTATAAGTCTTATTTGTTGGTCTGTTTAGGCTTTCTTTGTCATCATGATTCAGTTTAGTTAGATTGTGTGCATCCAGAAATCTATCAATTTCTTCTAGATTTTTTATTTTCTTGACAGAGGTTCTTTGTATACTGTGGTATCAAATGTCATATTTCCCCCATTTATGCCTAGTCTATTGATTTAAGCCAGTCGTGTTTCAATTTTGTTTATTAAAAGAATAACAACAGCTATTAAGGCCTGGTGCCTGTGTAGTAGGCTAAGCCTGCTCCTGCAGTGCCAGCACCTCATATAGACTCATATGTCCTGCCTGCTCTGCTTCTGCTCTAGCTCCCTGCTGTGTTTGGGAAAGCAGCGGAGGATGGTTCAAGTCCTTCAGAATCTGCACCCACATCAGAAGCCCAGAAGAAGCTCCTGGTTTTTGGTCAGCACAGGTGCAGTGTTTGTAGCCATTTGCAGAGTGAAGCAGCAGATAGAATTTCCTCCCCCTCTCTCCTTCTCTTTGTAATTCTACTTTTCAAATAAAAGTAAAGTAAGTCTTAAAAAACAACAAGCAAAAACAAAAACAAAACCAGTTCTTCAATTCGCCGATCTTACAAAACCCCAAACAGCAAGGTGTTGAAATTGTGTTTGTGGCATCTGCATATTTGCTGAATTGCTCTGGGTTCAGTGCCTGGCTAGGTTTTCATGACAACTTAGTTACTTGATACAAAAAATGATGACCATGGCAGTGATCTAGGTGGAATTAGAAAAATTGTTATCCTCACACCAATTCCATCACATAGCATTTGCTGCTTTGTGTTTTCCTTTCAGCAGAGTACCTTTATTTTGCTTGTTGTAGTGGTCTAAAACTTTGTTTTATTACAGAAGGATCATATCCCAGCACTCCTGGGGATGGCAACAGCTTACATGATCTTGAAACAGACACCAAAAGCCAGGAACCAGCTGAAACGGATTGCAAAAATGAACTGGAACCCCATTGATGCTGAGGAGTTTGAGAAGAGTTGGCTACTGCTTGCTGATATTTATATTCAGTCAGCGAAGTATGACATGGGAGAAGAATTATTAAAACGATGTCTGCGTCATAATAAAGTAGGTGGCTGAAGGGTCAGCATCTCTGTTAACCTTTCTTGCAATAGCACAATTCTAATAAACTTTAAAGATAGCTATCTCCAAGTATTCCAGTGTGCATTTTGAAAATGAAATGTTTATACATACCACAATCAGGAAATAAGTATTAATAAGAAACCATTTGCCTTTGAAAATAAGGGAAAAGGAGATTTATGCAGTTTCGGTTTCTGCTATAGTGATACCCTGCTTACAGGAAATGCTTTGGAATGTCAGACGTTTGCCTGTGATTATCCAGCTCATCCCAGAACTAATGAAAATTACAGATTAGTTGCTGACGCCTGTCCTTCCTATTAAGAAATCCTCATAATGAATTTACTACAGCTGCATGTCATTTCCAAATTATTAGAATGCATTGTGCATAATAGATTTTGTGGGGTAAAGTCTTCAGCTTTTAATGTGATTTGTTTAATAAAAGTTCATGAATTATACATGCAAATGTAAATCTTTTAAGTCCTTTGAATTTAAGCTTCTACTAATATTTCAGTGTTTAACGGGAAAAAGAATGTTTTATTAACAGATTTGTGAAAATTAAAATATATATACTATTATTTGAAAAAAATCACTAAGCTGGGCATGGCACATAGCCTAACAGATAAAGTCCTAACAGATAAAGTCCTTGCCTTGCATGCACTGGGATCCCATATGGGCACCTGTTCATATCTCTGCGGCCCCACTTTCCATCCTGCTCCCTAAAGCAATAGAGGATGACCCAAAGCCTTGGGACCTGCACCTACATGGGATACCTGAAAGAAGCTCCTGGCTCCTGGCTCCAGATCAGCTCAGCTCCGGTCATTGCGACCACTTGTGGAGTGAATCAGCGGACAGATGATCTTTGTCTCTCCTCCTCTCTGTATATCTATCTGGCTTTCTAATAAAAATAAATACATCTTTAAGATCACTAAACTTAGGAGTTGAACTAATATATGCTATATATGCTTCACAAATCCATACTAATTACTAAAAAATACGTTTTAAAAGATATTTTATTTATTTGAAAGAACCATATATATAGAGAGAGATCCTCCATCTGCTGGTTCATTCCCCAGATGGTCACAACAATGAGGACTGAGCTAAGCCAAAATCAGGAGCCAGAAGCTTCTTCTAGGTCTCCATCTTGGGTGCAGGGGCCCAGATACTTGAGCCATCCTGCACTGCTTTTCCTAGGTACTTAAACAGGGAGCTGAATTGGAAATGGAGAAGCAGGTCTGTAGCTGGTACCCTGTATGGGATGCTGGTATTGATTGCAACTTTACCAGTATGAAGCAAGGCCAACCCCTTACTTCAGGATCCATCCTAATCATACTAAATCTGTTTTCTCTTTGATCAAATAGAATACAAAATGGATAGTTTGATTTTTAAAGAAAATTTAAAATTATCTAGTTTGTCAAGGTAAATTTCTTAGGAATTTAGAAACACAAGGCACCAACCATTTATCAGTTTATTAGACAATAATAAATTGTAAAAGATTAATTCTAAGTTAAATTAATCTTGAAAAGCATTCATCAGTAAACTTTGAAAATCTCAACTGCTAACCTGTTGACTCTTAAATGCCTAGTCTAGGATTAAGAAGTATATGGAACAGAGGTGAGAAGGTATTGATCATGTAATAATTGTTGAAGATAAGTTCTGTATTTGTATTACTAAAATACTATACCTCTATATGTATAAAATACACATGCCTTTGCGTGTATTTCTGATTCTGTAAAAAAAAATGGCGATTCTGTAGGTTTGGGGAAGGAGCTTGGAATGGTATCAGGATTATTTACATTGGATAGTATCAAAATTTATTAAGTTTTATGAATTATCAGATTACATACTCAAAGTTTAAAATATTGTGTTTTTGCATTATTTAATGTAATTGACCTCTATAATCAGAAACATCCCATGGAGTTTGGGGTGTGACTTAGTCTATTGATCATCTTTCATTTTTCTTTAGTCCTGCTGCAAGGCTTATGAATATATGGGATACATCATGGAAAAAGAGCAAGCATATACAGATGCTGCATTCAACTACGAGATGGCATGGAAGCACAGTAGTCAGACAAATCCAGCAGTAGGTAAGTCTAGAAAATTGGACCTTGTATTTTTCACAAGAAGCCTGTGTTTTATTCATACGCTTCATTGAAATGCAGTTGATCAATTTTTCAGAACAAAATATATGTTAACAACCGATTTTCATATTCAGCCTTTCTGAAAGCACTTTCATATTCACAATAAATTATAAGCCACCAATACCTATGAATAATGTCTTGAGGTGCAAACTTATCTTCCATCACCATAGAAGCTATCTAGTCTATTTCTGCCACTTTGTTCCTATTCACTCTGTTTTAACTGAACCCTGCTCATTGTTAATTCAGCCTGTGATGGCATCCATCGTCAGCGGCCATGGCACAGTGTCGACCCAGAACAGTCATCTTCACACTAACAGCCATCAACCGAGGTCCCCGCCCCTTGTATATTTCTGAGCTGCTTTATTTTACTGGTTTTATACAAGGTACAGGAACTTACCATTGTTACAATATTTCTTATTCTCAGATATTATACAAGAGTACTTCAAGAAGTTTGTGGAATTATGAGTTAAAAGAAGTTTATTTGGTATAAGAAAAAATCAAAATCCATGTACAGTTCTGTAATACCCATTTTTTGTGAGCTTTTTGAAGACTCCTGATTTTTCTCCTGTAATTTGAAAGGCAGAGTTACAGAGAGAAGGAGACAGGGAGAGAAGAGGAGAAAGAAAGAATATCTTTCATCTACTGATTCACTCCCCAAGAGGACAAGATAGCCAGAGCTGGGGAAAGCTGGAGCTGTGTGATCCGAGAGTTTCTTCAGGCCTCACATGGGAATCAGGGCCCCAAGCACTCAGGCCATCTTTTGCTGCTTTTCCCAGGCCACTGTGAGATGCCAGCATCGTAGACAGCAGCTTAAAGCATTTCCCCACCAGCCACCCCCATTCTTATCTATCTTTCAAAATAAAGTTAGCTTATAAAGTAAAAACTTCTTAAATAACCATAAAGTAATGTTGACAGTTTATTCCACAGAAACAATGGATATAAAAATAATTTATAATTTCTGTTCCTTAGAAAACTTCAGCAACTAGGTTTCAGCTCAATGGCTGTTTCCTTGTGTCATCATCATTCTTTATGGATGATTTAATTGGCTACTCCAACTTCACTTTAGTAAGCACTTCTTAAGATTGACATTGTAGGGCCCAGCGTGATGGCACAGTGGTTAAGGTCCTCACCTTGCATGCCCGGGATCCCATATGGGTGCTGGTTCTAATCCTGGCAGCCCTGCTTCCCATCCAGCTCCCTGCTTGTGGCTTTGGAAAACAGTCCAGGACAGCCCAAATCTTTGGGACCCTGCACCCGCATGGGAGACCTGGAAGAGGCTCCTGGCTTCGGATGGCATAGCATTGGCCGTTGCGCTCACTTGGGGAGTGAATCATGGGACGGAAGATCTTCCTCTCTGTCTCCTCTCTGTATATCCGCCTTTCCAATAAAAATAAAATAAATCTTTAAAAAAAAAAAAGATTGACATTGCATCCAGTGCTCCCAATCTGACTAGCCAAATTAACAAAACATTTCACTTTCTCAGTTTTCAAGAAACCATTAAAATCATGCCCATGCTCTTTCTGTAGATTTCAGACTTGAATATTGCCGCTAGAAAGCTACCAGGATGGATTGAATAATTTACATGACCATGTAATCTTGTCAGCTTCTCCATGTTATTATATATAATGATGTATACTTTAAATATATATAAAACAAGACCTTAAAAAAAAGATAGGAGGAATCAGGAACTGTGAGCCAATGAGACAACAGAGATCAAAGCATTGTTGCTTCTCCTTTCACACCATTCTCAGGTTACATGACAGCCATTGTACCATTTACGCTGTCTTTTCTCTCTTTTGGAAAAGAGAGAATACAGCCTATAGTTGAGTTTTATTAAGTCTGACAGCTGTAATTCAGTTGCCATGTTCAAGTTCCATGCCCTTTCTTGCCCCTTATTTCCACCCTAAATTTCTTTGTGCTGATCATCTATCAAGATTCTTCTAAATCTATAGCTTTGTGATTCTAATGTAGTGTTAGTTTACACAGAAAAATATTTCTAACATTGTTTGGTGCATTTGTTTTGGAAAGCATGTTATAAGTACAAATGGGGATATTTAAAAAGTAGAATTGAAAGGTGCTTATTTGAATGGAAAAAACTATGGAATCTTTATTAATAGCACTAATAATAATGGCAATAGCAGTAGTATGGATGCAAGCATTGTGTCACAGAGAGTTCAGCCACAGCCTGTGACTCTGACATCCCATTTCTGAGCACCAGTTCATCATGGTGCTGCACTTCAGATCCAACTCCCTGCTAGTGCTCCCAGGAAGGCCAGCCGAAAATAGCATACATCATAGGGCCTCTACTGTCAGCATGGGAGAACCAGATGAAATTTTAGGCTCTTGGCTTTGCTTGACCCAGCCATAGATATTACGGAACCAGCTGACTGAAGATTCTCTTAATATTTCCCTCTCTCTCTATTACTCTACCTTAGACGTAAAATAAAATACATCTTTTTTTTTAATTTATTTATTTTTATTGGAAAGGCAGATATACAAACAGGATAAGAGACGGAGAGGAAGATCTTCCGTCCGGTGGTTCACTCCCCAAGTGACCGCAATGGCTGGAGCCAAGCCAATCTGAAGCCAGGAGCCTGGAGCTCTTCCGGGTTTCCCATGCAGGTGCAGGGTCCCAAGGCTTTGGGCCATCCTCGACTGCTTTCCCAGGCCACAGGCAGGGAGCTCGATGGGAAACAGGGCTGCCGGGATTAGAACCAGTACCCATATGCAATCCTGGCGCATGCAAGGCAAGGACTTTAACCACTACACTATTGCGCCGAGCCAAAAATACATCTTTTTAAAGCAATTTTTATAGTATGAACTCTATCCAGAGTTTTTCATGCCTATGCCTTTTTGTTGAACATTTTTAAAACCCTTATATTCCACTTGACAATCTGAAATTTTACCAGATGTTTTGGTACAGTGAGTTAAATTGCCACTTGGAATACCCACATCCTGGCTTGAATCTTGATTTACATCATTCTTTCATTCTTTCACAGTATTTATCTCAGTTCTAATATTATTCATTTACCCATGCAGTTACCTGAGTAATGAACTTTCTGTCCTAAGTGAATATAGACCTCATTACCAAAGGAATCAGGTACCTTGATGTGTTAAGGCAAATAAAACTTTACTAAGTGAATAGTTGTTAAATAACCTGGAATAAATAAGATTTCTGTAGTAGGGAACAGAAAGCACCCTCATGGGGTGGCAGTCTTCTAAGCTAACAGGAAGTTCACTGGAGCCTTTGTCCTCACCAGTCTTTTCTTTGCACTCTTCTTCAATGACACTCTGCTTGCTGTAGTCACACCGCTCTCCTCTGTGACAGTTTTGTCACCAACTTCTGTAATGAACTTTCTAGTGACTGACTAAATAATAATAAGGAATTCTAGCAGTAGACTCTATGAAAAATACTCATATTTTTTTGTTCTTAACAGGATACAAACTGGCATTTAATTACTTAAAAGCAAAAAGATACGTGGATGCAATTGACATATGTCATCAGGTAAACATTCAAGTTTAGATTTCTTAAAATTCTTCATCTGTATAATTTTGTGCTATTAGATAATCTTAAAATCTACATTTTGAGTAGTTAAGTTACATGAAGTATATCTGGAGAGATTATCATGTTCAAAACTGAGAAAATAATAGCTTATACAATCAAATGCATTTTTTAAAAATTTGGAATCAAAAGTAAGATATTCGTGACTTTACAAAGAGGCTAGTGGACAAATGTTAAAACTTAATTTTTTTTAGAAGATTTATTTTATTTTTATTGGAAAGGAAAATATACAGAGAGGAGGAGAGACAGAGAGGAAGATCTGTCCAATGGCTTACTCTGCAAGTGACCGCAACGGCCAGAGCTGAGCCAATCTGAAGCCGGGAGTTTCCTCTGGGTCTCCCATGTGGGTGCAGGTCCCAACACCTTGAGCGATACTCGACTGCTTTCCCAGGCCACAAGCAGGGCGCCAGATGGGAATCATGCCTGCCGGGGTTAGAACCTGCTCCCACATGGGATCCTGGTACATTCAAGGTGAGGACCTCAGCCAATAGGCTATCATGCTGGGCCCAAAACTTAATTTTTAAATTAGAAGATATTTGGGTGTAGTACATTCTCCAGATCATTATTCCAAACATAAACTTTTGTGAATGTGTCATCAATGAACTTTGATTTATAAATAGAGAAAAAAATGTGTTTTTCTGAAAATTAGAAGTTATTCAGTTACAAATGACAAATACTTTAATTTTTGAATTTCTAGGATTTCCTTAAATGCATTGTCTCATTGATGCTCTGTATCAACCATTACATTAAACACTGTGAGGAGTTCCAAGAAAAGCTCCCTAAAAAGAATTCTGTGATGTCCCTCATCCCAGATGTTTGTCAGTATCATTATAGCAGATAGTTGGCCTCAGTGGTAGCAGCTGAGGAATGAGTCTCTGCACATTACAATTGTGGTTTTACATTAATTTAAGGCTGTACATTAGAATCATTTGTGAATTTTTTTAAAGTAAATATCTATTTAGATCAGTGAATGTGGAAATTCTTGTTTTGAAATTTCTCCAGGCATAACTATCCTAATTTTAAAATTCGCTTTATAAGGATTTACCAATATCAGGAAGAAATAGGTTCATGAAATATCATTGACATATAATTTTTCCTTCAATTCTTTGTTAAGGAAACTACTATATTTGTTGTATTTTCCACACGTGGTAATCATATTCCACTGCTGTCATTTAGGAATGTAAATGAGTCGTGTCACCTTGCAAACATGCTGTTGGCGCTGTAGCATTGCTGTGGTGGCATTTTAGCCACAGTGCTTGTTACTACTAGTTTTTGAGGCACCCTAGTTCTTGATCATTAATTTCAGGTTCCTTTTGGGATTCTTTGTTTTTCTGCAGGTTCTTGAAGCACATCCAACTTATCCAAAAATCAGAAAGGATATCCTCGATAAGGCACGCATGTCTTTAAGACCTTGAACATGAGAATTTTAACTTTTGTTGATTACCAACTTTGAGTTCTTCAGTTCAGTTCAGTTCTTCAGTTTTGAGCCAGCATTTTGTGATGGAAACATTGTTTCTTCAGCAGAGGCTGCTGCTGCATATAAAAAAAGCCTATGTCAAACCTGTGCTTCCTGATGTAGAAGCTGAATGAGAGCTGGACCATCTGACTCTCCTGACTGAATGTAGGTTTGGTAGCTCTGTGGTAAAGACTGTAAGCCATTCCTACAAAGAATATTTTGTTAACATCTGGATAATTAAGCGTTCTATACATTTTCTAAGCAAAGTTTATTGCTTATTATAGGGAAAATAATAGAATGCATTGTTCTTAGGTTTTTTTTTTTTTGGTTATATTCTGTTTCAAAAATCCAAGTATGCCTCCTTGTAAATTTATGAAAAAGACAATATATATTTTAAATATATATTTTAATAAAGATCTTATGACTGTATTTTTATGTTCTTTTTAGAACTAACAAGGCTCACAAGTTTTGCAAGATCAGGTTTCTCACGAAGTCTTCAATGTTACGGAGCAGTATTGCAGAAAATGTGACTTTCTTAGGCAAAGCTTTTCTGGAAAAATATAAAGAGTGTCAGTTTCCCTTTCCTTTGTTGAGATCATTCTTGTGCTTGTCAATGTCAGTGTGATTTGACAAATGAGCTCATAAAGTTCACCATGTGAAAACCACTTGTTAAGCCAACTGTGCCTAACAGCACCCTGGCAGAGCAGTTCTTTCAAATTATATTTAACCGGTTCTTAAAGAACTCAGCTTTTATTGTTATTTTAAGTTCCTTATCTACATATTTCTCATTTGTTTGAAAAGCACAATCTTCGATTTTCCTGCATTTGCGGTGAATACAGGATGTTTTTATAGATTTCTTGCTGTTTTTATTTCCACATCCTTTACCTGGGGGCGGCATTTAGCATCACAGACAGGATGCCACCTGCTCCATCCTCATCCTATCTCAGAGGGCCTGGGTTTGAGTCCAGCTCTGCTTCCAGTTCCAGCTCCCTATTAACGCACTAGTGAGTCAGTGGCTCTGGTAGCTGGATCCCTGACACCTCCATGGAAGGTCAGGGTTGAGTTTCCAGCCTTTAGCTCTGCCTGACCCAGCACAAGCTGTTTCTAGCATTTGGGATAACAGCAGATGTCTCCATCTCTCTTTTTCTTCATCTTTCAAATACAGAATAATTTTAAAATAATAATAATAATCCTGTTTCTTTTGAGTTACATTCTTTTGTGACTGATCATTTTTCCAAGTTTTCAGAGCACTTTCTAATTTTGTATTTAAAATTTGAATCACTCCACATTTTCACCTACTTTTTGATTTCATAAAAACATTTAATAATAAAAAGCATAAATGAAGTATTGCTTGTTAGAACATTTTTACATGTATTACTGTTTTTGCTCTTCACTGTGCTATAGTATAGGCATTATTTCTTTTTCAGAACTGAAATTGTGAAAAAATTATTTCTTTATCATCAGTTCAGGGGGGTGGGGTTGGGGAAATCTTGCAGCACGAATGGGCATTGTTGAGGACATGACCATAGACTGTACCCCCAAATCCTTGTGTTGATATCCTAATCCCACAAGTGGTACAAGTGGTAGTATTCAGGAGTGGAGCGTCCGGGGGGAAGTGGTAAGGATGGGGTTCTGATGAATGTGGTAAGTACCTTTAGAGAAAAAAATGGAAAGATCTGAGAGTGTTCTCTGGCTCTCTTTGCCAACATCTGAAGCTATAACAAGAAGTCAAACTCAGAAAGCTACACTTTTGGGCAGGCGTTGTCGTTAGCACCCCAGATTAAACCATCACTTGAGATGCCTGCATCCCTTATCAGAATGCCAATTCAAGTCCTAGTTACTCTGTAGCTACATTCAGCTTTCTGGCAACGCTCCTTGAAGATAGCATTGGAAATACAAATGGCCCATGTGCTTGGATTCCTATCCCTTCATGAGAGACCCAAATGGAATTTCTGGCTGCTGGCTTCGACCTGACCCAATCCTGGATTTTGAGGAAATTGGGGAATATACCAGTGGATGCGCACTCTCTCTCTTGCAGCTTATCTGTATCACTCAGATAAATGAGCAAATAAATCTTTTATTTAAAAGTCAATCATCTGAGGCTGGCACAGTGGCTTACAGATTAATTTGCCAGTAAAGTCCCTGATGTTCCACTTCTGATCCAGTTCCCTGCCTACATCTTGGGAAAGCAGTAGATGATAAGTCAGGTCCTTAGGCTCCTGTACCCACATGGATGCCAAGAAGTTCAAGGCTCCCAGCTTCAGATTGGCTAAACCATTGGCCACTGCAGCCATTTGGAGAGTGATCAGCAGGTGGAGAATTCTCATTCATTCTCTCTCTCTCTCTCTCCTTTTCTCTATAAATCTGCCTCAAACAAAATGAATAAATCTTAGGGGGGAAAAAGCCATCTGTTAACCTAGACACAGGCCTTCACCAGGACCTTGTCATGCTTGAACCAAGAATTAAGACTTCAGCCTCCAGGTCCTTGAAAAGTAAATCATGTTGATCCAACTGGTTTGTGATACTTGTTATGGCAGTGGTAGCTAACTGAGGCAGAAACTGTAAGATACAGAATGATTTTGTAATCAGTGAACATGGATGATAGGATACCTCAGTCATGAAAATTGGATAAAGTAAACCATCTGTTCTCCCAGCAAGACATTTGCAAACTAACGTTCTTATCTGTAAAATCAGGACTTTGTTTTTGTTCCCAAAATGGGCTTTTTAAATTTTTTTAAACTTGTGCCATTTGTTACATACTATTCCAGGGGCTTTCCTCACTTTATAACTTCCTGATTCTCAACTTCTTACAAATAATATTCTGGGACCGAAATGGTTTGTCCCGGGTCATGGGAAATATACCAGAATCTAATTTCATCCTGTCCCACCCATCTTCGAAGCCATTATCTATTTACTATTTGAACTGCCTTTCATATTTAAGAGACTATCTAGAAGAAAACGTTTTGTCTACATCTGTCTACCTAATGAAACTAAATATTGTCTCAGATATAGCTAAGGAGGAACAAGATGAGCAAAGTAGACTGAGCAAATTTTTAAAAAGATTTTTTTATTTTTATTGGAAAGATAACACAGAAGGAGAGACAGAGAGGAAGATCTTCCATTCGATGGTTCACTTCCCAAGCTGCCAGAATGGCTGGAGTTGAGACAATCTGAAGCCAGGAGCCTGGAGCTCTTCCAGGTCTCCCACAAGGGTACAGGGTCCCAAGGCCTTGGGCCGTCCTAGACTGCTTTCCCAGGCTAAAAGCAGGGAGCTGGATGGGAAGTGGGGCCACAAGGACATGATCCTAGTGCCCATATGGGATCCTGGTGTGTGCAAGGCAAGGACTTTAACCACTAGGCTACTGTGCTGGGACCAGAATGAACAATTCTTTTTTTTTTTTTAAAGATTTATTTTATTTTTATTGGAAAGGCAGATATACAGAAAGGAGAGACAGAGAGGAAGATCTTCCGTCCAATGATTCACTCCCCAAATGAGCGCAATGGTCGATACTATGCCAATCCAAAGGGTCTCCCGCGTGGGTGCAGGGTCCCAAAGTCTTGGGCCGTCCTCAACTGCTTTCCCAGGCCACAAGCAGGGAGCTGGATGGGAAGAGGGGCCGCCAGGATTAGAACCGGTGCCCATATGGGATCCCAGGGCGTGCAAGGCGAGGACCTTAACCACTGCACCACTGCGCCGGGCCCAGAACGAACAATTCTTACAGGTACATTATTAAGAAGTGGATTAAGGGTGAAGTGGATAATAACCTGCCTCAGGGTGGAAGGACTAGATGAGGGAACATATATATATGCCTTTTAATGAGTGACTCAGGCTGTTAATAAATAGTAGCTCTACTTGGTTATAATACTCCACTGGAAATGGAGAACCAAAGCAAAAAGGATGAGAAAATTACCATAGAAGGCTCAACCATTCAAGACTCAGGATTCTCTTTGATTCTGTTCCTTCCTTCTTTCTCCCCACCACCCATTATTCTAGACTCTTGACATGCAGCATCTCATTTCATGTACTTCAAGGACACTTTCGCCCTACCCTCTTCCATATGAAATTTGCTCCTGTTCTCTGCCCTGCCTCCAGGCTCCAGGTTGTCCTCTTCAGGCTTACTTTAGGTGTGAATTTATCATCGAGTCCATGTCAAGTCCTGCAATCCTGTGATTCTATATTATACCATCATTTTTAAACTCTGAAACAAGACCCCCTGATTTTTCAGTTTTAAAAAAGTGCCAACCAAGTTTTTTGTGTATTTTTAGCATCTACCCTACCCTAAAACATCTAATATATAGGATGTGGCCATATTCATATTTTTCCAATAATACAGTGCTATGCTGTCCTTAAACATTTTTTAAATATTTGTTTACACTTTTTAAAAAGTTATTTATTTGTAGAGAAAGAGATCTTCCACCTGATAATCACTCCCCAAATACCTAAAGCAACAAAGGGTTGGGTCAACCTGATCTGAGGAACTAAGATTTCACTTAGGTCACCCAGATAAATCCATCATCTGTTGTTTTCCAGGTGCATATCAGGAACTCAAGGAGAACTTAAGCTTGGGATATATCAAAAGTGGCAGCTTAGAACTCTACACCAAGATGCCTGTCTCCCAGGTTTTTAAATTGATGTTTCTCTGAAAAGCAAAGAAGCAGGGGGAGAGAGAGAGATGAAGAGAAAGAGAACTTCATTTCACTGGTTTACTTCCCAAATGTATGCAATAGCCAAAGCTAGGCCATAACAACAAGGAGCCAGGAATTCCATCCAGGTTTCCTATAAGGGTGGCAGGAATCCCAGTTCCTGCATTATCTTTTGTTTCTCAGAGTGTGCATTAGAAAGAAACTCAGGAGCAGGCAGAACTTTATCCCAGCACTTACCTGGGCATCCCAAGCGGCAACCCACTGTGCCACAATGGCCATCCCTTCAAGATTTTTAACTGTTAACTCTCACAAAGTAAGTTAAAAAGCATAAAATTGTTCAGACAATATGTTAATCTGTTTTTTAAAATGTTAGATGCATGTGTATTACACAGGGAATACTCAATGAAACCAACTCGATTATTAACATGACTGTATCTGAAAAAATGAAGTGCCAGAGAATTTCTATTTCTATGTTACTGTAGAAGTTCATTGCAATGACTATATATATCGTAGACTAAAAGTAAATTTTTTTGGACAACCAGCCTCAAATTTGCTTTTTATTATCCTTTTAAGCTATTTTACTGAGCAGAGATAAGTGGGAGGAAACCTAAATAAAAGCTGACATTCTTTCAACACTCCACTTTTAATTTTTCACACAAACTGTAATATAATTTACTTCAGTTGCCAGGGAGAAAAATTCAGGAAGTGGAAGATGGAAAAAGACTGCCAGAAAACAGTAACGAGTCTGAGGGCAGTGGCGGTGACAGAAGAAGAGGAGTTCCCAA